CCTCGTCGTCGTCGTCGTCGTCCGTCGTCGGCGTCTCGTCGTCGTCCCTCCTATTTCGTCACCGTCGTCGTCACCGTCGTCGTCGTCGTCGTTGTCGTCGTCGTCTCGTCGTCGTCTTCCCTCCTCCCTCGTCGTTGTCGTCGTCGGCGTCGCCGTCCTTCCTCCTTCTTCGTCGTTCGCGTCGTCGCCGTCCTCCCTCCTCCTCGTCGTTGTCGTCGTTGTCGTCGTTGTCGCCGTCGTCGTCCTCCCTCCTCCCTCGTCGTCGTCTTCGTTGGCGACGTCGTCGTCGTCTTCGTCGTCGTCGTCGTCGTCGGCGTCGTCGTCTTCGTCGTCGTCGACGTTGGCGTCGTCGTCGTCGCCGCCGTCGTCGTCGTCGTCGTCGTCGTCGTCGTCGGCCGTCTTGCTTCTCCGGCCTTCTTGGGGCGCTCTTCAGACGCCCCCGAGGGCTCCAAGACGACCCCAGAGCGATATCTGTGTTCGGTCCCGCATGGGTTTTGCAAACCAAGTTGCGGGTGGGTGGGTGGGATGATTGCGCGAGCAGTGGAGTTGACAGTTTCAAGTTCGGCAAGTGATTGATTGCACCACGTAGAATTCATCACATGTTTCGCCCCACGTAGATTTCAGCAGGTATGTATGTATGTATGTATGTATGTATGTATGTATGTATGTATGTATGTATGCATGCATGCATGCATGCATGCATGCATGCATGCATGCATGCATGCATGTATGTATGTATGTATGTATGTATGTATGTATGTATGTATGTATGTATGTATGTATGTATATATACATGTATGTGTATATATATATATATATATATATATATTGCGCGGAAAAAAGCTCGTGTTGCCCCCATCATATACTGCACCAGTTCATTGCACAACATTGATTGCATCACATAAATTGTATGACACGCGTACGCACACACATATACATAGTGCCACATGTAGGTATACCGATGTATGTTTGTGCATATGGTTGTATATTTGTGTGTGCACACATACATATATACATACATATATATATATATATATATATATATATATATATATATATAGCACGGTACTTGATGCACCCCATATATTGCACCCCAGCTTCGCTTTCGACAACTCTACGCTTCTTGGCCATCCTGTTCTGCACCGCCGCGCGCACCTCTGCAGCCGTGGACAGCACGCTGTTCACCTCGGAATCCTTCGTGCCTTCGTGCTGAGGAGCGCCTGCAGCGCCGTCCTCTTTTTCTCTAGCTTGCGCACGTCGGTGCGCTCGGCCTCCTCACATTCAAGATCTTCCAGGCCCTCGAAGATGGTGGTGTCCACCTTCAGCTCGAATTTGGGCGAGGCCGTGCCTGGCCTGCCTGCTGCTGCCGCCAGCGCAAGGCCCCCGGCCGCCGCCATGGCTGCCGTGGCCTGCGTCTTGGCCCTCGCCGCCTGGGCCAGCACCAGCCCCGCCGCTGCAGCCTTCTCCTGCGCTGTGGTGAGCGCCTGCTGGAGCCTGACCACATTGCCCAACTCCTGGGAGCGCTTGTGGTCTGCATCCATCCACGCACTGACAGCACCTCGCACAGCTTCTGCAGCCGCATGCGACGCGTCCATCAGGACGCTTGCTGCCGTCTTTTGCCTTTGCCACCCTGGACGCCAGACTTGTCACCATCATCACCATACTTTGACTTGTGTAGCTTGACCTGCCGATTGCAGGTCGGGCACTGTCTGCTGTTGGCCAGGAGCGTGCATTCAGCACGCCCACACTTGCAACGAGACCACAAGTGCCCATAGTTCGCCATGATGTGAAAGAAAGAAAGAAACTCCTGTGTTGGTTGTCTTCGGGAACGGCTCACTGGAGCGCTCGCAAACAAATGCCCCAAACACCTCGTGCAGGCACAGGAGACGGGCTCGCCAAAATGGTTCGAGCCCGAGTTGTTGGAGGGATGAGGAGGCGGAGGGAGGGAGAGAGGGAGGGAAGACTAAAGAGGGAGGTGAGAGTAATGAGGCCCAGCGTCAAGGATTGCAGGAGAAGGGGGACGGAGATGATGACGAGGAGGGTGGAGAAGCAAAAACCTACAGTGGCTATCCCGCTCAATGCAGCGGCGCGAGACTGCTGATGCTCAGCGGCGGAAGCCACTTGGGGTATTTCCCAAAGCAAGCGAGCACGAGCCTCGCGAACCGGCATGGAGTCTGAGACGACCGAGCGGCACCGAGCACATCCGAGAGTTGTAGGTTTCCTGGCGGTGTGGGGGCCCACCTCCGCGCGAGAGCTCTCCAGGGGTGGGGGAGTGGAAGCTGGACGAGAAGGAGGACCAGGACTGTATAGCTTCGGGGAGCTCCCCGTAGTGTCGCAAGTGTGAGTATACGTATACGCATGTGTGTGTGTGTGTATTTCTACGTAGATATGTATGTATGTTTGCATGCACGTCTGTATGCATGTATGTATGTATGACTGCATGTGTGTGTATGCATGTATGTTTGCATACATGTCTGTATGCATGCATGTACGTACATATGGATGCATGTATGCATGCATGCATGCATGCATGTATATATGTATGTTTGTATGCATGTATGTATGTTTGTATGCATGCAGGCATGCATGCATGCATGTATGTATGTATGGATGTATGTGTATAATGTATGTATGTAGGTATGTGTGTATGTATGTATGTCTGTCTGTCTGTCTGCATGTATGTAATGTAATGTATTGTAATGTAATGTAATGTAGTGTAATGTAATGTAATGTAATGTATTGTAATGCAATGTAATGTGATGTAGTGTAATGTAATGTAATGCAATGCAATGTAATGTAATGTGTGTATGTATGTATGTATGTATATATGTATGCATGTATATGTATGTATGTATGTACGTACGTACGTATGTATGTATGTATTTTTGTGTATGCACGTAGGCATGTATGTATGCATGTATGTATGTATGTATGTACGTATGTACGTATGTACGTTTGTACGTATGTATGCATATGTGTATGTAGGTATGCGTTCATTTATGTACGTATGCATGCATGAATGCATGCATGCATGTAGGTAGGTGAGCGTCTGTTTACGCTATAAACATATGTATGTTAGCTTGCGTGTGCGAACTTACAAGTTGCATTTATGTAGTTCAATGTATGCATATATAAAAGCACATATATTTATGCATATGTGTACACACATATATAGATAGATATAGAACTGAATGTAAGTATTATGTTTTCATGCATGCATGCTCGTGTATATTTGTACATGAACATCCATATTTGTGTATGAGGGGTGATGTGTATCGGAGGTTGGGGGGTGAGATCGCAGTGAAACGGAGACCCCCCACCAGGAAATCGGTTTCGGTTTCGTGTTCGTGTCGTGCGTGCGGGCGAGGCGAAGCGGCGCGTGATTCTCCTGTAGCTAGGCCGAAGTAGGAGCGAAAGTCCGTTGCCCGTCCGCCGGTGGCCGGGAGGTGTCCCAGTTGGGCCGGGCGGTGTCCCGGGTGTCCCGGGTGTCAGTAGGAGCGAAAGTCCGGTTCCCGTCCGCCGGTGGCCGGGAGGTGCCCCAGTTGGGCCTGGTGGTGTCCCAGGTGTCCCGGGTGTCCCGGGCGTCCCGGCGCTAACGCATGTCGCTAATTTCATCATTCATTTTTTCCGGCGCCTGCGGCGGGCTTTCTTATCCAATCCAGCTTATCTTATCCAATCCATCTTGTCCAATCCAATCCATCTTATCTTATCCAACCCATCTTGTCCCATCTGATCTTATCCCACCCAATCCAATCCTCCCAACCCAATCCATCAAATCATTTTTTTCTGCGCCTGCGGCGGGCCAATCCAATCCATCTTATCTTATCCAATCCATTTCTTCCAATCCAACCCATCCTATCTTATCCAATCCATCTTATCCAATCCAATCCAATCCACCCAACCCAATCCATCAATTCATTATTGTCGGCGCCTGCGGCGGGCTTTCTTATCCAACCCAGCTTATCTTATCAAATCCATCTTGTCCAATCCAATCCATCTTATCTTATCCAACCCATCTTGTCCCATCTGATCTTATCCCACCCAGCCCAATCCATCCAACCCAATCCATCAATTCATTTGTTTCTGCGCCTGCGGCGGGCCAATCCAATCCATCTTATCTTATCCAATCCATCTTCTCCAATCCAACCCATCTCTCAAAGTGACAGGCTGGAGGTCAGTCAGGGTGGGCATTTGATCTCAATCCCCCCTAACCTCCTTATCGCCCGCAGGGCGTTCGTATAGGTATACGTATAGGTATACGTATAGGTGTATTTATATATATATATATATATATATATGAATATATATGAATATATGAATATATATATATATATATATATATATATGTATACGTATATGTATATGTATATGTATATGTATATGTATATATATATAGATATATTCATTATATATATATACACGCACTTGAGTAGTTGAACGTTCTGGGGCCCTCTCCAGGGCTGGGGACTTCTGGAGGCCAGGCCTAATGCAGGAGTCGCCAGGCAGGGAGGCCTCTGTCGGTCTCCTGAGGCGCCCCTGGGAGCCTCCAGGGGCAGGGAGGGGAGGCGGCGCTTGAGGGGAGGGCCTCCCGCGTGATGCCCCCAAACGGTGCGCTGACCACACCGTGTGGTGAGCTAGTGGAGATTCGGGGGTTCCGCACGGTTTCGGAACTTGGATCGGTCTCCTAGGATGTCTCGGGCGGCTGGGGCCTTCAGGGTCCCAGAACCGTGCGGTGACGGACTGTGCGGTGAGGTCTGTTGGGATTTCGAGGTCACCGCACGGTCCACACCGCTTCGGGACCCCCAAGGCTCTGGAGGGGAGGGCCGGCCGTTCGCAAGAGGGAGCGTGCAGGGTCTGGGCGGCGGCCTTCAGGAAGGCCCCTTGCCCCGTATCTAGGTGCAGGGGTGGGGCGCATGGTTCCAAGAGCCCCGCTGTGTTTACAGAAGGCCGCCCCCTTCACCGTGCCCCCACCCCCGCCGCCAAGAGAGGGGAGGGGTGAGGACCACGGGCAGTTCTCTCCGCTTAGATTCGCGTTCATGTTCAAGCCGGGCACATACCATGTGGACGTGCCGATTGGATTCTACACGCAGGTGCTGGGCCTCGGCGACCAGCCTGGAGACGTGGTTTTCGACGCCCCAAGGGGGCCGTACAGCGAAGAGGGAGACCAGGACCACATGGGCGGCGCGCTGAGCTCCTTCTGGCGTTCAGTGGAGAATTTCCAGACCCGCAGCAGCATGCTGTGGGCTGTCTCGCAAGCGGCGCCAATGCGACGAGTTATTGTCGACAAGGACCTAAATCTCGCTCAGTACGTCGACGGCGTTGGCATGGGCTACGCTTCTGGAGGATTCCTCGGCAACGTGGAGATTGGAGGAAAGCTATATCCGGGCAGCCAGCAGCAGTTCTGCGTACGGAATGGTGACTTCGTTGGCGGCTGGTCTGGTGGTGTTTGGAATATGGCGTTCATTGGATCGAAAAACGCGCCCGAAGCACATTGTGGCCACGATGATGGTATGCCGTTTGTGACTGTGGATCAGACGCCAGTTATTGCTGAGAAGCCCTTCATTACCATCGACGAGGCTGGTAAATTTTACCTGAACGTGCCACCGAGCCAGCGTGACCGCGTCGGCACGGACTTCGATGCTGGACTAAAGATACCCTTCGAGGAAGTGTACGTGGCCCAGGAGGGCGATTCGGCCGCCGACATCAACAGGCATCTCGATCAGGGGCTGCACCTGGTGCTCCCTGCAGGAATCTGGGAGCTGGACGAGCCCCTGAAGGTCGGCACCAAGAACCAGGTTGTGCTTGGCTTGGGACTCGCCACGCTCGTCTCCACGGCGGGCAACGCTGTGATCCAGGTGGGGAGCGTCGACGGGGTGCGCATCGCGGGTGTGCTGCTCCAGGCGGGCGAGACGCTGTCGGAGACGCTGCTGCAGTGGGGAGACGACACCGCGTTCAAGGGAGATCCAGAGAACCCCGGCTACGCTTCCGACCTTTTTGCCAGGGTCGGCGGGCCGTGGGACCCGGCCGAGAAGCAGCAGCGCTCGAGGCTCATGGTGCAGATCTCCTCAGGGAACGTTGTCGGTGACAACTTCTGGCTGTGGCGCGGCGACCATTGGGGCAAGCCGAGTGGAGAGTACGGTCTCGTCAGGGACGGCGACAATCGCTGCGACACTGGGCTTGAGGTCACTGGAGACGATGTCACGATCTACGGTCTCGCCGTGGAACACACACTGAAGGACTTGACAGTGTGGGGTGGCCAGGGCGGCAGGGTGTACTTCTACCAGTCGGAGTTGCCCTACGATGTGAACCAGGACTGGGGTGACGCAGGCTACGTTGGCTACCGCGTCTTGGACAGTGTTGGCACGCACGAGGCGCACGGTATCGGCGTGTACCACTATTTCCGGGACTACGCCGTCACGGTGCAGAGCGGCATCGCTTGCCCAGAGTGGCTGGAGAACTCCTTCGATTCCCCGCTGTCGGTCTATCTCACTGGAAAGGGCAAGGTGCTCCACATCCTGAACGACCGAGGCGACATGACTGGCGACGGCTCCCAGGTGACGTGGCTCTGCGACAAGGCCCCGCCAGTGGAGGCGCCAGCCAATCTGCCAACGACCACCAAGCGACCGAGGAAGCGGGGCACGCTCGTCGTCAAGAGGAAGGCCCCGAGTGCCGCAGAGAAGCCCGCGCCGCCGACAGTCCCGTCGCCGAAGCCGGTCGCGCCGATGAAGCACTCGGGCAACTCTCAGGCAGGCCTGGTGGAGGCACTGCCGCCAGGGACCGCCGCAGACGGAGAGCCCAGCGCGGAGGTCTCGGGGGGACGTCAGCAGACCACCTTGGCGATCCCGGGCGCGCCCATCCCAGGCCCAGGATCGGCGCACACGCCTTCATGGCTCCTCCTTCTGCTCCTCTTCCTCCCACTCTTCCTCGTTCTCTTCTCCTCTCTTCATCCTCCTCCCCCTCCTCCTCCTCTGCCTCCTCCTTCTTTAGGAGGAGGAGGAGGCGGAGGAGGAGGAGGAGGAGGAGGAGGAGGAGGAGGAGGAGGAGGAGGAGGAGGAGGAGGCCAGGAGAGCATGTAAGCCGCCAATCCTGGGCCCAGGATCGGCCGGGCCAGGTTTGGTGGCCGAGAGACCCCACGTGTTGTTTTTTCAATGCGGGGTCCCCAGAATTGTCGACCCTTTCACTTGGGCTGGCTTTTCATCCCGAGTCGTTTTTGACGGTCCTGGGGCCTGGCGAGAGCCCCTGGAGGCCGAAAGCGGCGAAGAACACGCCGCCTTGATTTTTCAAGATGTTGGATGTCTGGGTACAGCCAAGACGCTGATACAAGGACCACTCCGGGCTCAGGAGGGGCTTTGGTTTTCGAGCTATTCCACAGATCTAGGCCGGGGAGCCCACATTCGATGCCGAGGATCGCCGTGGCCAGAGGAGCCCCTTTGTTCTTTGCTCAGCGTTCCTCATGGAAGCACGGTGACCTTCTCCCCGGGGCCAGCTTTGCGTCCTGGATCCCTTTGTGATGGTCCTGGAGCCCGATGGCGGGCCCCAGGGGCTGAAGTCGAGGGAAAAATTGCGGGGACCGAACACAGCACACCGTCGGAGAGCTGGGTGCACAAGTGGCCGCCGGGCGTCCCCTCGAAGGTCGAAGGGTTCATGCCTCCCGCGGGCGCGGACGACGACGACGACAACGACGACGACGACGAGCCCGAGCTGCCGCTCAGCGCGGGCGAGGAGGCCACCGCCGCGGACGTGGCCGGGCCGTTCCCCCGGCCGAGCGCGCGGCACGCGCGGGGCGCGGGCCGCCCCAGCGCGGAGGCGGCCGAGCCCGCCGAGCCAGCGGGCGCAGTCGTAGGGGCGCTGACGCGGCAGGGGTGCTCGGAGAGCCCAAACTCCGAGGCGGGGATTTCTACAGAGCCGCCGCCTGGGGGATCAACCTTCGGGGACCTCGGCGGGCGGTGGATATGGATAGGTTCGGGCCGCCTGGAGCCCAATTATTGAATCGCTTCGCTCATTCCGCCGGCCCGTGATATGGCATCGCTGGTTTTTGTCTGTGTGTTCGTTGCCCATGTTGCGCTCTTGGGGGCGGGTGTCGTTCGGACGCGTTGCGTGGGGAGTTTTGATGGTGAAGCAGTTCCCTGGGGGTCGTCTCTCGATGGGGCGAAATAGAGTCGTCGTCAAGATGCTTCTTTGGGGGGCCTCTTGGGGTCTGTTGAGAGGCCGTTCGGGGGCGCCTGGGAGACATGTTTGAAGCCTTCTGGGGCTTCTTTTGGGCCTCCTGGGAGTCTCCAATTATATCTATACCCACCGCCCGCGGGAATCCCAGGATGTCGGTTCCACAGGCGGTGGACCTTATATGTCCCCGCCTCGCACAAACTCCCTCGCGTCGCGAAGAACATGACGACGTGAGTTTTTCTCAAAAAGCGTTTCACTCGAGGTCTCTGCTGGGGGTATCATGCGGACCGAGGATTCCCTCAGGGGGAGCGGGTAGCCCTGAACAGCCTGGTCCGGCAGCCAGTCCGGCAGCCGTTTCGCCTGAGATTTCTCACAATTTCTTCAGGAGTCGTTCTCTCCCCTTACTGTCAGCTACATGTTGGTCTGGACGGTCAAGAAAGCTTCCCCAGCAGGGCACCCCGATGATCAGCAGCAGCGGTGAAGAGGTGTGTCGATGAGCAGGAGGTCGGCTACGGGGGGCAGGGGTGAGAGCACAGCCATGTGCACTGTAGCGTACATTGTACAAGGCATCGTGGCCGACCGGGCCAAACGTGTGGCCGACACTGGGGCGAGAGCACGACTGCGGAATAAGTTGCGAGGAATGCTTGAGGCGAAGCGGCTGCCGCACCGCCTTCTGGACCGGGCGGTCTAGGGCTCCCCGTCCCCCCTGTGGGAATCTTTTGTGGCCTGTTTTTCACCATCCTGAGACCCCTCCTTGACCAACCGCTACAGGGGACAACTCGCGACGCGAGTTTTTTCTGCCAGTTTTCGGGCTCTGTGGGCCCTCGCCAGGCCCTGGGACTATCCACAGTCGTATTTTTCTGATTCATTGTTTGCCGATCGGCGCGGGGCCCATTCCCCCCTCCCTCCCCCCCCCCAATCCATGGAGTAGGTTTTGGCTGTTTTTACCTAACAGCTTTTGCTGATAGGTTTCTGGTGGGCTCAAAAGAGAGCATCTTGACGCCCCAGGGGGGTCTGGGCGGGATCCGGACAGATCCGGACAAAAGGGTCAGCCCCAGGAATCTTCAGGAATCTTTAGGAATTCTTAGGAATCCTTAGGGATCCATGCCCAGAACACCATTCCCAGGTCACATTGTGAATGCCCGGAGCCAACTGTAGGCCACTTCGTGTTCTTCGCCTTCCCAGAACACCATTCCCAGGCCACATTTTGAATGCCCGGAGCCAACTGTAGGCCACTTCGTGTTCTTCGCCTTCCCAGAACACCAATCCCAGGCCACATTTTGATTGCCCGGAGCCAGCTGTAGGCCACTTCGTGCTCTTCGTGCTCCCAGAACATCATTCCCATGCCACATTTTGAATGCCCGGAGCCAACTGTAGGCCACTGCGTGTTCTTCGTGTTCCCAGAACACAATTCCTGTACCATATTTTGATTGCCCGGAGCCAGCTGTGGGCCATTTCGTGATCTTCGTGTTCCCAGAACACCAGTCCTGTGTCATATTTTGAATGCCCGAGCTGAGGCAGGCTGAGGCCGAGGCAGGCTGAGGCCGAGGCAGGCTGAGGCCGAGGCTGAGGCACGCCGAGGCAGGCTGAGGCTGAGGCCGAGGCAGGCTGAGGCTGAGGCAGGCTGAGGCTGAGGCTGACGCAGGCTGAGGCCGAGGCAGGCTGAGGCTGAGGCTGAGGCAGGCTGAGGCTGAGGCAGGCTGAGAGGCTGAGGCTGAGGCAGGCTGAGGCTGAGGCTGCAGGCTGAGGCAGGCTGCTGAGGCTGAGGCAGGCTGAGGCTGAGGCTGAGGCAGGCTGAGGCTGAGGCTGAGGCTGAGGCTGAGGCAAGCCGAGGCAGGCTGAGGCCGAGGCAGGCTGAGGCTGAGGCTGTGGCTGAGGCTGAGACAGGCTGAGGCTGAGGCTGAGGCAGGCTGAGGCCGAGGCTGAGGCTGAGGCTGAGGCCGAGGCAGGCTCAGGCCGAGACTGAGGCTGAGGCTGAGACTGAGGCTGAGGCTGAGGCCGAGGCTGAGGCCGAAGCTGAGACCAGGTGAGGCTGAATGGGGGAGGGGGGGAAGGGGGGGGGGAGAGGAGGGGAGGCTGAGGCAGGCTGAGGCCGAGGCTGAGGCTGAGGCCGAGGCAGGCTGAGGCTGAGGCTGAGGCAGGCTGAGGCTGAGGCTGACGCAGTCTGAGGCCGAGGCAGGCTGAGGCTGAGGCTTAGGCAGTCTGAGGCTGAGGCCGAGGCAGGCTGAGGCTGAGGCTGAGGCAAGCCGAGGCAGGCTGAGGCTGAGACTTAAACTGAGGCAGGCTGAGGCATCCGTAGGAATCCATAGGAATCCTTCGAAATCCATAGGAATCCTTAGGAATCCGTAGGCATCCTTAGGAATCCGTAGGCATAGTTAAGCATCCTCAGGAATCCTTAGGAAACCTTAGGATTCCTTAGGAATCCTTAGGAATCGCCAGGAATCCCTAGGAATGAGGATTCCTAAGGATTCCTAAGGTTTCCTAAGGATTCCTATGGGTTCCTAAGGATGCCTAAGGATGCCTTAGGAATCCCTAGGAATCCTTAGGATTCCATTGGATCCTAAGGCCGTTGCCACTGCGACTGTCATTGCGAATGAGACTGCGACTGCGAGAACAGCAGAATTATACAACTGGATTCTCACCTGAATCTTAAGGGGAATGCTTCCAGATATGCTTATACACATCGCTGTTAGGTTGCTTTGCCGGGATAATTGGCGCCTGTTGGTCGAGTCTCCCCCGTAGGACGCACTGCTGCAAACAGTCGTACTAAGCAGAGGTTCGGAGCCAGACTCCCCCCCTCCCCCCCTTCCGCCCAGCGTCGAAACGCCGAATAAGAAAACGCTCACAAACAGGACTCGGGCCCAGGGAGGGGTCCGTTTTTCGGGGGAACCCATTTTGGAAAATTCAAGACGTCGGACCTTCGGGCTCGGATGAGAGAGCCAGCCGAGGCGACGGCCGCTGAGGTCCTGGTGTCGCATTTTTGTCACTCGGGGCGCTTGCGCGTCCGGATTCGGCCCTGAGCGGGGCCATCGCGGGTCGATCTGACTCGAGAGATGGCGTCGAGGACTCCGGTCGTGATTTTTCACGCTGGGATATTTTTTCGCGACGCCGGATCTCAGGGGCGGCCCTCCCTGGCGTCTTTCGTCCTTCTTGGGCCTCCCGGAGGGTCTCTCGCCGCCAAGGCTCGGCCCGTCTCGAGAGACGGGTCCGGATGGACCCGGGGAGGGCTCTGGGGACCGAGTTCGAGCGGGTTTGCAGGCCGTTTTTTCATCCCTTGGCGCCAACGGGTGTGACCGACGGGGGGGAGGAGGGGGCCGTCCACGTCACGATTCGCGCCCGGCGTCGTCTGGGAATGCTGAGGAGTGGCCAGCTTTCCCACGGCGCCAGCGCGAGTCATGACGTGACCAGGGGGGAGGGGCGGGGGCGGGCGTGGTCGGCGCCGTTGTCCTAGACGGCCCTCCGGCGAGGTACGATGAGGCGCCCCTGAACCCGCAGCAGGGCGAAGCTGGCGTCCCCTGGTGGGCGTGGGTCGTCATGGTGCAGACCTGCGGGACGTGGGCCCTGTGCGCCTACGTCTTCCTGCTGTACCGGCGGTGCGCCGGCAGCCAGGAGAACGGCGACCTGCCAAGGACTTGGAGACAACCTTGCTCCTGCCTCCCCTCCCCCCTCCCCCCTCCCCCTCCCCCTTCCCCTCCCCTCCCCCTCCCCCTCCCCCCTCCTCCCCCCTCCCCCTTCCACCACTTTCGTTACATGCTTGCAGGTCCAGTTCTACTGATCGGGTCGTGCTTTTACGCCGTGCCTGAGGCAAGCATGCCCTACCTGTGACGGTTTCGCAGTACTTATGCTTTGCCTGTGGCAGCTATGCCACGCTTGCGGCGCCCCGCAAACTCGTTAATTGCGATAAGCTCTGACATCTGCCAATCTGTTTTTTCAATCCGCGGCCCTAGAAATCCCGACTGCTTCTCCTGGGATAGTAGTGTTTTCGTCCTGGACCCATTTTTGATGTCCTGGGCCCGAAAACGACCCCCAGAGGGTCTAAGTCGAAGGAAAACCGCCGATGGGCAAAGTTAGGAAAAGTGAGGCTGTCGGAGACCTGGGAAGTGGGAGCTGGCCTCCAAGCATCACGGTGGTCTCCCCCGAGGATTGCCGCCAGCCCGTTCCTGTTCCGGGGCCTCCCCGCGTGGTCCCCGGGCATCGCTCAGCAGAGGGGCTCTTCCCAGTCGCCGCAGCTGCAGGCCAGGGGCGTCGCCGCCTGGGACACGCCCGAGGAGAAGGCGGGTGGTTCCCATGGCGATCACACAGTGTTTCAGGAAGGGAACAAACACACAGACACAAAGAGAATCGTCGATTCCCAGGGAAATGTTTGGGAAACATGGGAAGTATGGGGGCGGGGGAAGACGAAAATCAAGAAACTAGGAACAAAAATCAGGGGAATCTTGTGATTTGAGTGCATTTGTTTGTGTGTCCCTGCGCCCCTGCAGTGCTGTGCTCCAGAGAGGGCCCCGCCTTCGAGGGATCGGGCGGTGGACACATCCTCTTCGGCGGAAGGCGGCGGACGGCCGGCGGAGGTGCAGCGGGGGCCGCTTCGTCGGTGGAGGCTCGGCGGAGGGTTGGCGCGAGGAACCGCTGCGTCCCGAAGAGATGACGCTCCTTTTTGGGATTCCTTGGCATCGCTCGGACGTGAGCACTGTTTCTCGGCGAGGACCATCGGGGAACATTCCTGAACATTCTGCAAAACAAGCACGCACGAAACCCCAAATCGCACGGGCAATAGACGTCCGTGCAATGGCGAAATTCAGGATTTCCAGAGTCGCTCAAGTGCGCCCCCAAGAGATGACCATTCTCTTTTGGATTCAGGACTTGAGTATGTTCCTGGGCCAGCTCCCCTGCCTTTCTACAGAGCTGCGCGCAGGAGCCTGACGACTTTACTTTTTGGCTGTCGGTGCAATTTTGGAGGTGTCGGCGCGTCGCCCATGGTGGCCAGTTGATCCCAACCTAACATTGCAGATTATTGAAAAAGAAAGTGGCACGCCTCCCGAGCGCCCTGCGCCCCGACCCTCTAGACCTGGCCCCCCGGAATCGCTCAAGTGGCAATGCTTGGGGTTGCCCCCAGAGCCCCCAGAGCCCCCAGAGCCTCGAGGTAGCCTAGGTTGGCCTCAACAGCCCCTCCAGGGAGCCCCCCGGGGGTGCTCCGCGCCCTGGGGTTGGGGTGTTGAGACCGCTTCGGGTCACCACAGGGGCCTTCGAGCAGGAGGAGCAGGAGAAGGAGGAGGAGGAGGAGGAGGAGGAGGAGGAGGAGGAGGAGGAGGAGGAGGAGGAGGGGGAGGAGGAGCTGATCATCTCCAGAAGGTCCGCAGGACGAACTCCAGCAAGGCCAGCGGCGGCAGGGGCTCGGGCCCCGCGCAGGCCCAATCTGGACAGGAGGCCGCCGACGACGACAACGGTAAGGCCTTGCGACCACCTGCGAACCCTAACCCCTGCTCGCCCACTCGTCAGAGGAGGAGGTACCGATACCGCTACCTTTGCTTCGTTTTCGTCTTTTTTGGGCCTCCTGGGAGGCCCTCGTCACCACCGCTGGATTCGCCTCGAAATTCTGGTCAGAACGCACCCCGAGAGAGGTCTGGGGAGTAGCGGTATCAGTATCTTGTTGATCCCCCACGATCGACGCTGCGGCTCTGAGATCCTGCTGTTTCAGTTTTTTGCTGCAGGGCGTTTTCGCGCAGATTCGGGCCTCAGTGCGGCTCCATGTGGAGCCCGATGTTCTCCGCGCCGGCGTCGCCGATACATCGGCGGTGCGGCAGGTCCCTTCGACCCCAGTCGGCGGCGAGCGAGGGGGAGAAGTGAGAAGGAGCCGGCCTTCTCAGAAGGTGGCGTGGCTCCTCAGAAGCCCTCGCGCCTTCCGAGAAGTTCTCCGCGTCTCCGGGGAAGGCTGAGAGAACCCTCGGGGAGGCCCGAGGACTCCCGAGCCTTCCGAGAGAAGGCCCGCCCCCTCATCGCTTCCCCGCCATCGCCGCCGGCCCATTCCGAACCCCTTCTGAGAGGCCCCCGCAGACGTCACGCCAAAGCCGCGAGACGCCGGATCCCTTCAAGGTGGGGGGGGGCCTCGCCAGGCCGCCGGCACTCGGCAGGCAGCCCCCCCCCCGCCGTGGCCTCGGAGGCCTGGCCCCCGCGGGGGAGGGCGCACGCGTGCTCCGACGTCTGCTGCGATCTGAGCTGTTCCGTCCGCGGCCTCTCCAGGCACCCGGCGTCTCGAGAGAATCGAGGCGGAGGTTAACTTCCTCGTTGGGGGCCTCTCGGGCCCTCCACGGGCCCCGGGATTGGCAAGAGGCGACTGGGGACGAGAAGCCGGTCCTGGGGAAGTGGTCGAGAGGTCGGAGGCGCCGGTGCCTCGAAGGAATCGAGGCGCCGGACGTCTGGGTTCATATAGCTCCCGACGCCTTCCCCCCCCGGGGGGTAGTGTTTCGTCCGTTCAGGTGGTCCTAGCCCCAGAGACGGCCCCCCATCGGACGGCCTAGAATCCAGATAGATCCGTTCGAGAGCGTTCCAGAACGCTTTCAGAGAGTTCCGGAACGCTCTGAAACGGACGCGGCGCCCGATATCGGGGGCGGAAAAGAGGGGGGTGATGACTAGGGGGGGGTGGATATCATGGCATGGGCCATGATATTTCCCCAGATTTCATGGCGCCTCTTCTTATTCCATGGCGTCCCTGGCCCCCACGCTGGGCCGCGCACATGCCGCCGGTCATGATTTGCACCCCCCCCTCTTGGACACCCCCCTCTTGGCCGCTCCCGACGATACATCCTCCAAACCCGCCGAGTCTCAGAGGCTTCCGATTTACATCGGTTCGGTTTTGCCTCGATTCTGCCTTCGTCTTGCCCCAGGGCTGAAACCGAGTAAGAACGCCTGGCGTGGCCTCCGCCTGCGAGGCGCACGGCGGCATCTTCGCGAGCGCCGCGCAGGCGCTCATGAGGTTCTCTGGGCCTCCGTGCACGGGGTCCGAGCATCGGCGACTCCAAAGGGTATGGTTACGCCAGGGTATGGGCTGCGATCGGCAACGCTGGGGCTTGGGGAGCACGACGCTGTCCTCGTCGGGCCGCCTCGGGGCGCGGCGGGGAGCCCCGTCGAGGTCCTCGGCCGCCCCCCAGGGTGCCGGTTGCAAACCGCACCCTTTGCAGACCACACTTTTCGGAGTCGCCGAGAGTAGCTGGAAACATTTTTTGTTATATCCCCTGGCGATGACGGGCGTGACCGCGGGAGGGGAGCGGGGAGCGGGCCGGTCACGTCACGATTCGCGCCAGCGCCGTCTTAAGATGCTTAGGAATGGCTGATTCCCACAGCGCCGGCGCGAATCGTGACGTGACGTGATCAGGGGGGACAGGCGGGGGGGGCGGGGCCGGTCACGGGCGTTATCGCGAATGCTAAAAGCGGCTTTAGATGGGGTCGAAGGATCGCGCTGCATCGCCGATGCATCGGCGATGCGGCTCGATGTGGAGCCCGATCTTCTCCGCGCTGGAGTCGCCGATGCACCGCCGACGTCGCCGGCACATCGCCGATGCCTCGTCGATGCCTCGGCGATGCATTGGCTATGCGGCGCGATGCTCCGAGCCCACCTGCTCGGACCCCAGCTGGGAGGCCTCCAGGTTCGGGCTCGGCCTCCCCGGCGTCGCCCTGCAGACGCCCAGGAGCTGCCAGGTCGCAGACCCCGCGCCCGCCGTCGAGGCCATCCCCTAGCAGGACCCCCCGGGGGGTTCAGAGGGTCTCGGCAGGGTCGCGCCGCGCAGGTGCCCTGCGGGGACCGCAGCGCGCGCCCTCCACCCGGACCTCGAGCGACATGTCTTTTTGAAAGCCCGGCGGCCTTGGGTTTCGGCCTCCAGGGGCCGACTCCTCCGATTCGATGCGGTTCGATTTCGGTGGGTTCCGATTTCGATTCGATTCGGCTTCGGATTCCGATTTGGGTTCCGATTTTTCAACGGAGGCCTACTAGCCTGCCGATTTCCGCCGATTCGACTTCTCCCGACTTGGCTGCCGATTTCCGCCGATCCGATTCATTCCGATCGCGATCCGACTTATCGATTCGAATTCTGGGCTCTCCTGCCGTTCTTGGGCCCTACATCCCACCGCGAAACTTGAAGCACGTTCTGCCGACCCTCCCGTGGCCTCCGCATTCCAAGGTCGAGTGGCGCGTCCGCGGCGCGGTCCGCGGACACCGACGAAGCACGTGAAGTCATGTGAGCGTCACAAGAAAATGGGGTCGTCTTCACCGACGTTCGCACGTAAGCTGCCCGCGTAAGGTCGCGCGTAAGAGTCCTCGGCTCCAATGTGGCGTGCCACGATGGAGGCCCGCGGAAGCCGCCGCGTAAGGTCGCTGCGTCATCTCGCGTAAGACCCGTTTTTGGTGGTCGCACATTGGTTGTAACATCAACATCGAAATCTGACGCTCTGGGGGCGGCGACGCTGCGCAGGCGAAGCTTGCCTCAAGTTCCGCGGAGGGAGGCAGGACCGTCAAAAACTGATCCGGGGCGAAAAACTGGCCCCGGGGACACGGTCGAGATCTCCGGGGGGCCGCGGACTGAACAAAGTCGCATCGGCGGATGTCCTCTGCGGAACATCCTCAACATCGTGAAGAATCATGGCCCCAGGCCCCAGACCCCGTCTTTGCTGCTGCACTTTTCGAGCCGGATCGAGCTGTGAGGGTCCCGGGGCCCGAAGCTGTGCGAGAGCGCCCAGCTCGAAAGAGCTGTGACGCCAGGATCTCAGGGTCGCAAGCCGCAAGCGCGTCTGTGAGCAGGCGGGGCGCGCCGTGCGGAAGAAGAGGGCGGCCGCGGAGGCAGGGAGGGGGAGGGAGGCCCGACCGCAGAGAATCTGCGGGGATCCACCGACGGAACCTGTCCTCATCCACCGTTTCGGAGTCGTGCCCCGAGATGTCGAGGAGCGGTGGATGCGGATATCTGCCCGCCCGCGTGGGCGGGCAGATATCCACGTCGACCGCTTCCCGAGCTCTCGGAACACGACCCCGCGGCAGTGGATATGGTCACATTCTGGCGGCGTAGGGGAGGGTAGCGGGCGGGCGGCCTCAGGCACGGGAAACCAGTGTACTGCCAGGTCGTGCGTCCCAAGCGCAAGAGGTCACGAAACATCGATACGCGAGAACGCGCTTCTGTTGTGTTCTGTTCGGAGTTTTGTGGGGTCCTCCCCAGGCAGCCCCGTGGGATTCGCGGTGTCCCAGAGGAGCCGGCTGCCGGTGCTACAGGCGGGCAGCGCGAGTGCGCACTTCGCCTTCCGCGAGGGCCACTCCAATCTTTCCCCTAATCCAGTCAGAGTAGATGTCGCGCTGATTCACCAGCTGACCTGGACCCGTGGGCCCACACTTGGTCGGTGCGCCTGCAAGAGGAGCGACGCGCGCGCGTCTGTGTTCTCGCACAGACGCTTCTCGCTTAATTCAATCCAGAGAATTCGCGCGTAGGCCGCTGGAGGAACGCGCCCGTGCGGTGCTTGGATTTCGTCGTCCTCGTGCGCAATGCACCTAGACTAGGCATGCCCTGCGTTTTGGGTGCCGGCTGTGATCGTCAGCGCGAGAACGTAGAATTAGTTTCAATCCAGCGCTGTACAGACTCAACCTGTGCAAGTTTAGGCTGGCGCTCCAGGGGTCCCGCGGCCGCGCGCACATGCGTATTTGCACAGCGAGTCGAGAATGAGCCAACACATCTCATGGGCCACGCTAGGAAAAACGCGACCGTGTTTGCGCATCTGTTCGCCTGCTCCCGGATGAGAGCCGCGTGCAGCCAGTTTCGCCTCCGCCGCTGCGCTCCGTCTTCGACGCGTGCCCGCCCCGGGCGCTACGGGGCAGTTGGTGACACCGGGCTGCGCGTGGCCGATTCCCCGATGCCTTCTGCGCCCCCCGCTGCTGCTCCTCTTCGGCTCCAGCTCGACTCTAGAGCTCGACTTTGGCTTGGCCCGAGTTCAACGTAAGCTCGGCCCAAGTTCGAACCAATTCGACGGACGTACGACGCAGCATCGATGCATGAGTGGAGCGAGTGGCTCCAGGAAGGTTCCCAGAACGAACACCTAACCTCCCTCTTCAGAGAGGAGCTGCTGGGCCAACGTGCCTTCCTCTCGGTGTCAGCTCCTGGAAACTGCAGGCCAGGAAACTGTGTGCAGAGCAGCGGCTGCGATCACCGTGCCTGCAGCGTGAAGCGCTGCACGACGGGGAGAGCGAACCCGACACTGTGCCCGGCCCTCTCTACGATTCTGCTGCCTCCCCCCGCTCCTGCTCCTCCTCCTCCTGCGGCTCTGCTCCTGCCATGCCACCCTGGGCTCCATGCAACCCCTTGAGCTCGAGCAGGCCTGGCGCGCGCGCGCGCCGCTCGCTCGGGCACCCATGAAGGGGGTGTGGTTCCGGAAGTGTCTCCGGCTGCATGACAACGCTGCGCTGGCGCACGCGGCGGCGGCCGCAGAGGCCGACGGCGAACTGGTGGTCCGCAGAGGAGGCAACGGCACCGACAGCGTTGCTCTTTTCTCATCTTCGCCTTGCTGGACCTCCTGGGAGGCCCTCGTCGCCACGGCTGGATTCGCCTCGAACTCCTGGTCAGAACGGACCCTGGGAGAGGTCCGGGGAGTAGCGTTATCGGTACCTTTTGGTTCCCCCAGGTCCCTTTCTTTGTCTTGGACCCGCATTTCGACCGCTCGAGGGTGGGCATCAACCGGTTCCAGTTCCTCCTGGAGAGCCTGAAATGCCTGGACACTCGGCTCCGCAGCGAGCACCGCAGCCGGCTCCTGGTCTTCAGGGGCGCTCCTGAGGCCGTGCTGCAGCGGCTCTTCGAGGGCGATGGCCGGTTCAAGCTGGGCTCCCTCTTCTGGGAGCGCGATACGGAGCCCTACGCGCGTGAACGCGACGCCCGTGTGGAGGCTCTGGCCAAGCAGGCTGGCGTGCACACAGCGCACTTCTCCGGGCACACCCTTCTGGACATAGACTCCGTCGTCGCCGCGCAAGGCTTCAAGCCGCCCATCTCCATGTCGGGCGTCCAGGCGATGGTAGCAGCAGCGGGCCCGGTCAAGGAGCCCCTGCCGGTGCCACGACTTCCTCCGCTGCCTGCCGACGGGCTCGAGGTCCCCGACATCTCGGAGCTCTACGCAGACGCGCCCACCAGCCGCTGCTTCCCGGGCGGCGAGCGGCACGCCCTGGCCCGGCTCAGGGCCGTCTGCGCAGACGCGGGCTACGTGTGCGGGTTCGAGAAGCCGAAGACCGCCTCCACGGGGCGGCCGGGCAAGCCGTGGGAGCCTACCCGCCTGGAACATACCCCCATCCCTATGTTCGGCATCACCTTATCTCGATGCCGATCTGAGAGCACATCCCTAGGATTGTCATGGGCCTTGGGCTTGCCGATCTCAGGGATAGGGATAAGTTGAGGCTGGTGAGGAGCCCTCGACCACGGGGCTCTCCCCGTACCTCAAGTTCGGCTGCCTCTCCCCGCGAACGGCGTGGCATGAGGTCGCGCGGTGCCAGCGCGGGCGCGCGCACTCCAAGCCGCCGCAGTCCCTGCACGGCCAGCTGCTCTTCCGGGAGATGTTCTACGTGTTAGGCGCTTGCGTGCCCAACTTCGACAAGCAGGACGGCAACAGGATGTGCAAGGAGATCCCTTGGGGCGAGAATCCCGAGATGCTCACGGCATGGGCAGAAGGCCGAACGGGGTATCCCTTCATCGACGCCTTGATGCGACAGCTGCGCGAGACAGGCTGGATGCATCACCTGGGCCGTCACGCCGTGGCTTGCTTTTTGACACGGGGCGATCTGTGGCAGAGCTGGACGGTGGGCCGCGACCATTTCGACAAGATGCTTCTGGACGCCGACTGGGCGGTCAACAACGGCAACTGGCTTTGGCTCGCTGGCGTCGCGCCCTTTTCCGCCCCGTACTTCCGTATCTACGACCCGTGCCCGGGTGAGCGATCGAGCCTGAATGCCGAGCAGACGGGTGAATTTGTGCGGCACTTCGTCCCCGAGCTGAAGGACATGCCAGCACGTTACATCTACAAGCCGTGGACTGCTCCCGCTGCGGTGCAGAAGAGCGCTGGGTGCGTGATCGGCCGCGACTATCCGGCGCCGATCGTAGACCACAAGGCAGCGAGGGAGGCCAACCTCGCCAGGTTCAAGGCTGCGCTGGAGGGCTCGAAGTCCGGGCACATGCCAGAGAAGTTTGGGGCGGCGGAGCGCGACCCCGGGCCGATGCAGAGCGCGTTCGCGCGGCCGCTGGCGCCGCCGTCCGCGGCGGCGGGCGGGCGCGGCGGGGAGCGCCCCTCCGGGGGCGCCAAAGGCCGCGGCAAGCGCCCAGAGCCCCACGCGGGCGCCGGGCAGGCGGAGGGCGGCGGCGCCGCAGGCGGGGACGCTGCCAGTCAGGGGCCGCCCGGCAAGGGCAGGCGGCGCTGGGGCCCTGCGAGCGCGGCGGGCTCCGGGAAGATCTGGCAGGCGCTCGGCGCCGGCGCCGCTGGCGCCGCTGGCGCCAGCGCAGCGGCGGCGGCGGAGGTCGGCCGTGCCGCCGGCGGCTAGGCATCCACCGCTAGAGTGCGTCCATATCCACTGTTTCAGAGTCGTGTTCTGGGATCTCGAAGAGTGGCGGGTATGGGTATTTGCCCGCCCAGATGGGCGGGCAGATGTCCATCTCCACCGCTCCCCGAGTCTCTGGAGGACGACCCCGCGGCAGTGGACATGGACACATTTTGGTGGCGTGAGGCAGGCGTCGGCAGCTGCAGCAGTGGCGGGTAGCCCAGTGGGGGGCACGCTGCAGGTGCTCAGGGGCTCCGATCGCCCACGCGCTTACACCTTCGACGAGGCTTCCCGGCGACGGCGGATGCGAGAGTGCCCAGAAATCCGGCGTCTCGAGATAATCGAGTCGAAGGGTTCTCATAGGTTTCGGCCGCCCAGGGCCCTTACCAGGCCCCGAGACCGTCAGAAAACGACTCGGGAAGAAGGCTGGTCCTGGGGAAGTGGTCGAGAGGTCGGCGTGTGGGTGTGAGTGTAACTGTATCTGTGTGTTTTTCATCCCGTGCTGGTTTCGCAAACGGGGTGCGGCGCCCAGCCTCGGAGGCATTCTCGGTGTGGGCCGCAGGAGCGCTTCTGGTTTCATTGCCGAGGGCGTGTGCCGTCGTATGATCATCGCCCTCTTTCCATGGTACACGGTGGTTTGCTCGTGTGGTCTTCCACAGCTGCAGGGCAGCATTTTTCTACTCGCTGGGGGCGGCTGCAGCGTGCGCTGCATCAGTTTTCTTTGGGTCGCCAAAAGGCGCTGCACGTCCAGCATGGTTCTTAGTCGTGATGTTTTAGCGTTTGGGTTTCCGCCGCTCCTCCGTGTGTTTGCGAGTCGTGCTCCTACAGTGTACGCTCTCGTGCGCACGCTCCAAGAAACAATTGCAACTGACCGCAGCCACAGCCATGACGCTGTAGCCAGGCCGTAACGGGGTGGCGGGGGAGGCGATTGGTGGGGGAGGGGAGGGATGTACGCATGCGCAGTCTGAGGCATAGCCGAGGAGGCACGGAAGCGCAGAAGTAACAGAGAGAGAGAGAGAGAGAGTCGGCGACTACAAAGGGTGTGGTCACGCCGGGGTGTGCTTCGCGATCTGCGTCGTTGGAGCCTGCATGGACACCACGCGGGCCTCCTTGGTGCGTTGTGGAGAACTCTGTCGAGGTCCTCGCCCTCCCCCCCCATGGTGCTCGTTGCAAGCCACATTCTTTGCAAACCACACCGTTCTCGGCGGCGAGCGGGGGGAGTGAAAAGGCTTTCAGAAGGCTCGGAAGCCCCCTGGCCCTCGCCAAACTGCAGGGGGCCGACCGCGCCAAGGGCCTGAAGCAGAGCTGCGGCGGCCGCATCCCGCAGGGCGCGCTGGCCACGGCGGGGCAGAAGAAGAAGAAGAAACGCCTGTACCTGAGCCGCCTGCTCGGCAAGTGCGACCCCTACACGGGGAAGCTGCTCGGCTGACGCCGTCGGCGGCTCCCGCCACGCGGCCGTGGGCCGCTGCGGTACGCCTGGCGTGCCGCCCTGGCTGCGTGCGGGCGGGCTGGCCTGCCTGCTGCCGCCGGGCACTTTTGGCCGTGCGCCTAGCACCTGTGGCACAGCCAGCTGGGGGAATGCGCGGTCACGACGGCCGACGGCCGTGCGGCGGGCGGGTGCTCGCAGTCCTGAGGCGCGGGCTGGCGGCGTGAGGCTGCCGCGCCCCCGCGGACCGAACGCTGCGCCCCAGCGGCGGGGCCTCGTTTCCCCTGTTGCGGCGCTGGGGGTGGTGCGAGAGAGAGAGAGAGAGAGAAGAGAGAGAGAAAGAGAGAGAGAGAGAGAGAGAGAGAGAGAGAAAGAGAGAGAGAGAGAGAGGGGAAAAACATGAGCGAGAGAGAGAGAGAGAGAGAGTGTGAGAAAGATAAGGATATATGCTTTATATATATATATATATATATATATATATGGATGGAGGAACAAATAAATAGAGCGCGGACGCACAGGCACCGCGGTATTATACCGACGCGGTGGCGGGCGAAGCGGCGCACCTTCATGAACGTCGGCATCGCCATGGTCATCGGCAGGGCCATGGTTGACGCGGCACCCAAGAGATGGGCCGACCTATGTACCCATTGCTCGGTGGACTCATCTTGGACTGTGACTGGTACGGGAGAGAGAAGGAGGGAGAAAGAGGGAGAGAGAGAGAGAGAGACAGAGAGAGAGAGAGAGAGTGAAGGATCGAAAAAGACAGACTTGCATGAACGTGCACTTTCGACGCTCAGCTCGGATTTCTTGGGTCGGCGCTGTGATCCTCCGGCGGCGCCTGCGGCGCCGCCCCTGGCGCGCTCCCAGCACCGATTCAACAAATCCGCGCGGACCTCCAAACATGTAGTCGTGCCGTTTTTTTGTTCGTGTCAGGGAACAGGCCCAGGCCGCGGGCCTGGCGGGCCTGGCGGGCCACATACTTATAGTGTGGCTGGAGTGATGACACCTGAAATGAAGCATGTGAAAGTGATGTTGGTGGCCGTTGCCCCGCCGATACCGTTGGTGACGCCAGTCAAGAGGAGAGTTGCGAGGCCGAAGCCGATAGCGAACGCACCCTGGCGTCGAGGAGATGCCACGCCTGCCACGGTTTGCAAACCCGAAACGGATAGCGATCGCATCCCCAGCGCACCCCCTGTGGCGTCGAGACAGTGCCACGCCTGCCACGCTTTGCGAGGCCGGAGCGGATAGCGACCGCACCCCCTGCGCACCGCCAATGGTGCCCAGAAAGTGCAACGCTTGCTAGGTTTTGCAACAATGTCGTGGATAGCGGCCGCGCTGGGAGACCACCCCCTGTGCACCCCCTATGGTGTCGTGAAACTACCATGCCTGGTAGGTTTTGCGGCAATGTCGTGGATAGCGGCCGCGCTGAGAGACCACCCCCTGCGCACCCCCTATGGTGTCGTGAAGCTGCAACGCGTGCTAGGCTTTGCGACAGTGTCGTGGATAGCGGCCGCGCTGAGAGACCCCCCCCCCCACCCCCTATGGTGTCAAAGTGCCACGCCTGCTGGGCTTTGCGGCAATGTCGTGGATAGCGGCCGCGCTGAAATCCCACCCCCCGCGCACCCCTTATGGTTCCCAGAAAGTGCAACGCATGCCAGGCTTTGCGACACAGAAAGTGCCACGCCTGCTAGGCTTTGCGACAGCGTCGTGGATAGCGGCCGCGCTGAGAGACCACCCCCCTGCGCACCCCCTGTGGTGTCGAGACAGTGCCACGCCTGCTAGACTTTTGCGACAGTGTCGTGGATAGCGGCCGCGCTCAGAGACCACCCCCTGCGCACCCCCTGTGGTGTCGAGACAGTGCCACGCCTGCTAGGCTTTGCGACAGTGTCGCGGATAGCGACAGGGCTGAGAGACCACCCCCTGCGCACTCCCGGTGGTGTCCAGAAAGTGCCACGCCTGCTAGGCTTTGCGACAGTGTCGTGGATAGCGGCCGCGGTGAGACCACCCCCTGCGCACCCCGTATGATGTCCAGAAAGTGCCATGCCTGCTAGGCTTTGCGACATTGTCGTGGATAGCGGCCGCGATGAAAGACCACCCCCTGCGCACCCTGTATGATTGCCAGAAATTGCCACGCCTGCTAGACTTTTGCGACAGCGTCGTGGATAGCGGCCGCGGTGAGAGACCACGCCGTGCGCACCGCTTCTGGTGTCGAGACAGTGCAACGCCTGCCACGCTGCCCGACCCTGGCACGGATAGAGGCCGCGCTGAGGGACCCCCCCCGCGCACCCCCTTTGGTGGCGACACAGTGCCACGCCTGCACCCTGGCACGCACAGGGGCCGCTACCCACGACATTGCTGTGCTGTGCAGTGCTGTGCTGAGCTGTGCTGTGCTGAGGTGCTGTGCTGAGCTGTGCTGTGCTGAGCTGAGCAGTGCTGTGTTGTGCTGTGCTGTTATGAGCTGAGCTGAGCTGTGCTGAGCAGTGCTGTACTGTGCTGTGTTGTGTACGTGCTGTGTGTCAATGTGCTGTGTACTATGCTGTGCTGTGCTGAGCTGTGCTGAGCAGTGCTGTGCTGTGCTGCGCTGCGCTGTGCTGCGCTGTGCTGCGTGAAAAGGAGAAAGAGGAGGAGGAGGAGGAGGAGAGGAGGAGGAGGAGGAGGAGGAGGAGGAGGAGGAGGAGGAGGAGGAGGAGGAGGAGGAGGAGGAGGAGGAGGAGAGGAGGAGGAGGAGGAGGAGGAGAGGAGGAGGGAGGAGGAGGAGGGAGGAGGAGGAGGAGGAGGAGGAGGAGGAGGAGGAGGAGGGAGGAGGAGGAGGTGAGGAGGAGGAGACGCGGGTGCGACGCGGGAGCGAAGAAAACCATAACCCCACTAAGCATGTGGGGAACAAGAAAGAGAGGGAGAGAGAGGGAGAGGAAGAGGGATAGAGAGAGAGAGAGAAAACTATATATATTTATAGCGATACATACACAGAGAAACAGAGAGAGAGAGAGAGAGAGAGTCAGAGAGAGAGAGAGAGAGCGAGAGAGAGAGAGAGAGAGCAAAGAGAAAGAGAGAGAGAGAGAGAGAGAGAGAGCGAGAGAGCGAGAGAGAGAGAAAGAGAGAGCGATAGAGAACAAACACTTATAACAAAGGGCCCCAATGCTCGGTGCCTGGCGCCGGAGGGCGCCGAGATGCTGCGAGGGCACAGGGCGCTCTACCCAATCCCTGGCTCGCGCAGAGACTCGGGCCTGGGCGGCCTTCGGAGAGGACCTTCCGCCATTGACGTTAAGAGTGCCCACCGACGGGAGAAATCCACGCACGCCCGCGCGTTGAAAATTCCCGCTCCCCCGATCTCAGTGTTGAAAACGGGTGTGTCTGTAGGGTTGAGTCGTGGGCGCTTCTTTTGCTGATGATTGCGCTCCTACAGCGGCTGCGAAGGCAACGTGGAAATGTGGGGCCCCGGGGTGCCCCCGTCGAAATAACATCTTTGGGTGGGCGTCGTTCACGCTAACAGTGGCTCTTGCTTTGGCGTGTGGGGATCTTGGAATTCGGATTCAAGGAAACTCTGCGAAGGGCGTGCGGCTTGGAATCGGCTGGGGGGGTGGCCCAGCGTTGGTTCAGACCAGCAGGAAACGCGGGGGGGCGAGGTTCAAGTTGCCGGGTTCGAGCAGTTTTTTTTTTTTTTTTTCTTTTCCGGCTTGCGGGAACCGCTTTCAAGTCCCGAGCGGCAACACATGGGTCCGCGGTGTTCGACGGAATCAGGGAAGGGTCTAGGGATTCGGTTTGTTCGGGGCGCATCCAGCTCAGACCCCCTGGCCGCCTCCAGCGTGCAGCGCGCGTATGCAGGTTGCAGGCCAAAATAAGTCCGTTTTCGGCGGGCCCGATACATCGTCGAATCGCCAGGGACACGGCCCGCGATCGAACGGACGACACTTCGGCACACGAAGCCAAGAGACCCATGAAAATAAACTATCTGGCGAAAGGGAAAACAGGATGACCAGGGGGAGGGGGGGCGGCCAGCGTGGTAGGCCGGGGGCTTTGACCATTCGCGCCGCTTCTGCCCCGCAGCCGCGTCGCCTCAGCATCGGCTCGTGGCCTGCCATAGAAGCCCCGCAGCGCTCGCCGTGATCTCCATTGCCTGGCAAGGATGGCCAGCTGCTGTTGCTTGTTTCCTCCATGATGATGGGGCAGAATCGGAGGTGGATGTGGTGGAGGTGGAGGTAGGACGCGGGAGGTGAAGGCGGTGGCGGTAGGATGATGATGGGAATGATTATAACCATGATAGGCCCAGGGCGCATTTGCGATGCAGCACTACACACAGCCGCCCCAAGTCCAGTCATAATAAGTCCCTGCGGCCATTCCTTATCACTACAGGCAGTCCGCCCTTTGAAACGTGAGAACACCATGGGCCAGCCATACAAGCGAGAGCCCCGTTCGGAACATTAGTTTTTCATTGTTTTTGTAGCTGTAAGAAGCAAGCGCTGGGGCACAGGAAGTTTTGGAATCGACCACGTGGGTTCGTGGACATCTGTGGGGATGGGGAAGTTGATCAGCGGTTCACTGAGTTGGGTGCGTATTATTATCTCATGGCCTGCGGCCTATCCCACCACCGTGCCTGGTTTGTGGGTCAGAGTCCTCAGGGATGCTTCTGGAGGTCTCTTCGGAGGGCTCTCGGGGGTCTCTTGGGGGCAGGGGCTTGCTGGTGGGCATTTTGGGGGCCTCTTGGGGGCCTCTCGGGGCCTCCTGGGGGCCTCTCGGGGCCGAGGGCTCGAAATGTCCGTTCGGGTCCCCCGTCTGGGCCCTTTCTTTGAGTCATCTTGGGGGCCTCTTGGGCCGTGTTGGAGGCCAGTTGGGCAGTCTTGAGGCCCTCTTTGACCATTTAGGCGCCCTCTTGGAGGCCTCTTGGGCCGCGCTGGGGCGATCTTGTGGGTCTCTTGGGCCGTCTTGGAGCGTCGGGAAGCCGAAATAGTGAGAACGCCAACATTTTTCGAATACCCAAGGCAAATCAACGATTGCTGCCTCTTGGAGCACTCTTGGGATGCTCCTTGGAGGCCTCTTGGGGCGACTTGGGGGCATCTTGGGCTGTCTTGAGGCCATCTTAGGCGTCTTCCAGCGATCTTTCGGCGACCCGGGGCCCTCTTGGACTGGCTTGGGGGCCTCTTGGGGCCCTCTTGCAGGGAGCCCCCTGGGGCACGCGGGGATCCCCAGAAGATTTGGTAGTTTTGGGTCCGGGCCCTTGTGAGAATCCTCTGGATGGAGGACCGAGGCTTCAGGGCCAGGCCAAGGACCTGATGACACTACAGCTCGTGCCTCAAGGGCACGGTGGCGGATAAACCAGGGAGGTCATCCCAGCGGAGCGCTGCAGTGCCAGAGCTGTCCTTACTTTTTTATGCGTCTTGCTCCTTGGTCCACGCTGCCTTCTTCGCACTCCCACCACCATCAAGGCTAATGTTTTCGCGCGAAGAAGTATCGAGACACTTAGATTTGGGAGCGAGGAATCTTTGCAGTGGTTGTGTTTCGCAGAGGGGCCGCTGGACGGGGGATTCGGGGGGCAAAGCACAATGGAGATATTGCTAGCCTTCTCGTTGTGCCCGCTTCTGTTGATCTTGGTGGCCCAGCTATGCGCGCCCTTGCTTGTGAGGATGCACCGAAACCAGCAGTATGACATGGACTGCATCACCTGGAGCCCTGCGGGGAGGATCCTTCAGATAGAGTATGCCATGGAGGCGGTGAAGCAGGCCGCAGCCTGCAGAGACGGACAGAACAATGGCTTGGAGAGGACAGAAGGATCAGATATTCAGTGCGATGTCCATTTGCCCTGCCTCATCCTCATCCTTCTTCCTGTTCGTCTCCACCTTATTATGTAGACTTATGTCTAGATGTTGGTACACACATGTATCCATATATGCACGTATGTTCTCTTACGGCATCTCCCCGATCTGATCTCTAATTTCCCCCTCCAGCAATCAAGATTTCATCCCGCCAGTCTTCCCTTTTAATTTCTGCGCCTGCTTATAGGGCGCTTCTCTTGAACTTGTGGTACAGCCGCAGGGGTAGAGAGCGAGACGAATACCGAGAACGAGCTCCAACACTAGAGTACAAGTAGTAGAGCGGGAGGTCGTGGAGCTCCCCAGGCGAGGAGTTGGGAGCAAGGGGTTGGGACGCGTAATCATTGCGGCTGTCTGCGAGGCGAAATAAGCATGTGAACTTGCTTCATGCAGTCGACAGGTATCTGTAGCAATGCCACTTCGGGCGGGCAGCAGGGAAGGGGGCCCAGCGGGACCCGCGTTCGGAGATCGGCGGGCGGCACCGCATAATTGCCCCAGGAGCCTGACAAGATCCTACAGGTCTCTCCTTCTCCTGGTCTCTTTTCTCTGCCTTTCCCTCGTTGTGTCCCCCTCTTTCGCTTCCTCCTCGCTCCTTTCCTCTCTCTCACTCTCTCACTCTACTCTCTCTCTCTCTCTCAATCTCTCTGCCTCTCTCTCACACACACTCTCTCTTTCACTCTCTCGGTCTCTCTCTCTCTCTCTCTCACACTCTCTCTGTTTCTCCAGCACTCTTTTTGTCTCTATCTCGCTTTCTCTTTCTCCCTCTCTCTCTCTCTCTTTTTTTTATCTATCTATCTCTCGCTTTCCCTTTCGCTCTCTCGCTCTCTCTCTCTTTCCCTTCCCCTGTGTGGCAAGCAGTGGGCGGCAGGCTCCAGCTGGCCGCCCATGGGTGCCATGCACAGGTGAGGCACACGCTTGCCCTCCTGGGTCCGCGTAGCTGGCCCGCAGTATTAGGGTCGGCGCAACGGGGTCCGCAGAATCAGGACCTGTATCGTCTCCGGAGGTGGGTATCTCGTTCACCCCAGCACCACTGGAGGTGGTGCACCACCTCGGGGAAAGTGGCCGCAAGTGGGCCGGCGTCGAGCTCTTGTTCTACCCCAGCGCACCTTTCGTCTTGGTGCACCCTTCGGGAACGACTTGTGTTGTCGTTTGCACATGCTCCTACATGCTCCTCCTCCTCCTCCTTACCCTGCTCCTCCCTATTCCATTTTTTTTCTTATAAATAACTCCGCCCTGTCGCACCTCGAGGCTGGTCGAAAGGGCGGGCCAGGCGTTCCGCTTGAGACTCCCTCGTCACTTCTGATCCTGAAGCGTAGAGGTTGGCAACAGTTTCGCGGATGAAGGGTGGGTGGTTTCCAAAATGTGGCTCTCGCCTCGGCGCCGCGCGCATTCGTTTTCAAACGTTGTAAGAGTTCACGGATTGAAGATAGGCCGTTTTCAAAATGTGGTTCTCGCCTTCGCGCCGCGCGCAGACGGATTAAACATTGCAAGGGTTTTGCGAACTGGGGGCGGGTGGTTTTCAAATGTGGCTCTCGCTTTAGCGCCGCGCACATTCTTTTTCAAAAATGGCAAACGTTTTTCGGATTGAGGGCGTGTGGTTTTCAAAATGGTACTCTCGCCTGAGCGCCGCGCGCATTCGTTTCAAACATGTGCAAGAGCTTCGCGGATTGAGGGCGTGTCGTTTTTCAAAATGTGGCATTCGCTTTGGCGCCGCGCGCATTCTTTTTCCAACACGTGCAATAATTTTACGAACTGAGGGCTGGTAGTTTTCAACATGTAGCTCTCGTATGAGCGTCGTGCACATTCGTTGTACATGTTTGCAGAAATTTCATTGCTTCTCATGGTTGTCCTACCAAGAACAGTGTTTTGGAACGGTTTAGGAGTGTCAGGGCGCAACAGTTACGTTTATTCGTGGTGTTGAAGTTTGAGGAATGGTGTTCAGCCAAGACGTAACAGTCAGGTTACTTGGCGGCAGGACGTCCTGAGAATCGTGCTTTGGCCCGCTTCAGGATTTTCGCACGGTTGTCCCCCGACGGGGCAACTCACTCAGTGGGAATGAACTTTTGTAGGGGCCTATCACGAGGGAGTTTGGAGGGAGAGTGTTTTCCAACATCGTTGATGGTTCTTGGGTTTACACTGGTCGTCGTCGTCGTCGTCCTCTTCCTCCTCCTCCGACTTGTCTTGGACTTCATGTAGGGGGTGATGCACAGAATTCGTACCTATCTCGCTCAAGCTTTTTCAGCCCCAGGGAGCACCTGATCGCATGCGCCTTCTTGTAATGTGCGTCCCCTCCTGGCTGCTGGTGTGCGCTTGGTGCGCGCTGGGCGCAGCCTGGCTTGGGCGGTTGCGCGCCAGCGGCGGCGGCGCGGGCCCTCCTTACGATTGGGACTGGCGGGTCTGCGCCATCGAAGGCCAGTTCGCCGCGCGTGAGGCTGGCTTCGAGGCTTCCTGCGCGGCGAACCTCTCTCGGTGCTTCGACGAGCTCTCCCGCCTCCGTGCGGACCGCACGAATCTGACGGCCCAGCTGATTGAGTTGCGGGCCAAGTACTCCCAGCAAGGCTACGGCACGAACGCGTTCTTCTTCCACTTTTTAAGCCCCGTGGTGACGACCGTCGTGACGCAGGTGGGCGGCTTTTGCGCGATCGCCTGCTGACGCGATGGCGATGCTGCTGCCGGCGAGGTTGCAATTGTTCAAGGCCGACGGGAAGGGCGCCGAGGCGGCGGAATTTCTCAGTGAGCTCTTGCGTGGGCCCGTGATCGGTGCACCACGACGACGACCCCTGCAGTTGACACGAGAGGAGGTATCTCTGGCCCGCGGACGCCAAACGTCCGCCCACGTGTCGTGGCGCCCGACGGGGACATTTATGCGGAGGAACTCGCTGCGGGCGCGGACGGGAATTCGCCCAACAAGGCATCGATGACCTTCGGTGCCTCTCCCTCCCGTCGGCGTTCGCCTGGCCGCGTGTACCGTTGTCGCTGGTACCCAGGCGAGGCCGCCAAGGTGGACATGATCAGGAAGGCTCGGGCCGAGTCGCGCGAGGTGGGGCTCAACGTGGACGAGTCGCCCTACTTCGCGCGGAGCGGCCGCGCCCCCTGGTGCCGCCGCCGCCATGAGCTTCGCCGACGTGCCACGGTTCTACCGGCGGCAGTTGGGCAAGACGCCAGGCGTTGCGCGTGAGGCGCCTCGCCGAGCCGCAGCCCCCCCGTTCGCTGACCTCCCGCCGGCCCTGGTAGACGGCGACGACCTGGCGGGCGAGCCAGGGCTGCGTGGGACCGACACCCCGCTGTGGAGGCCCCGCCGCCAGGCGTGACTTGGGTCACCGCCAAGATCATCACGGGCGAATGCCAACGCGGCGGCGAGGTGACCCCCCATGTGGGGGACGTGGTCTGGGGCGAGGCGGTGTTCTATTGCGCGTCGGGCGGCTTCGTCGTGCCGATCGAGCTGGTGCCGACGCCCGTCGGCGACTGGGCGTGGGGCGACCTTGGCGATGACGCGTGCCTGCTGGGGGCCCTGCCTCGCAGACGCGAGGGTCGTCGATGGCGTGACTTCCGTGACGTCGTCGCCCAGATGTGGCGGGTGGCGCTCGACGACTCCCCCCTGGTCGGCGAGCGCAGCTACAAGTGGCTGTGCGAATGCATCCTCGAGCACGGTGGCGCCCCCGACGGCCGGCGCGCCGAGTGGGTGGTCGAGAGCGGCTGCAGCAAGGATTCTGCGGCCGCCATCATCCGCGATCTCTTCGGGTTCTCCATGGAGCTGGTGGGCACCTGCGACCAGATCGACGGGTCCAACCTGGCCTGCATGGAGGCGGCCAGACGCGCGTGCCAGTTCGCGGAAGACACTGTGGGCAGCGTGAAGATCGAGGGCGTCGAGCACTACATCGGGCGCTCGAAGCAGAGCGCCCTCAGCGGCGTCGCCACGGCGCCGGGGTTCGCCGAGAACGCGACTGAGATCCAGAGGCAGCGCCGCAGGGCCAGGGAGGATAATATTGCCTCTTCTGGCAAGAAGGACACATGTTAAATGGGGTTGGCGGTTGGGAGGTGGCTCGGCCCGATCGCTGTTTCGTGAGAGCCAGTTTTGTGGACCTGCACGCGGTCTATCGCTCGGCGATGGCACGCTGCCGTTTGCGGTGACTACGTCGCGAATCCCCCGCCCCCGCCGCCCGGGCTACCCCGATTGGTCCGCGCGCGAATTTCGCGCGCCCGGCTGATTGAGGAGCGTGTTCGGGGCGCCGCGGTGTGATCCGACGCGTTCGGGGGCTACGTCTCACAGCAGTGCGCGCCAGGGCGCCTCTCTGCGCTGGGAGACCTACTTCTTCGACGCGACCGCCGCCCGCGTCGTGCAATGGGGGCCCCCGCGGGCGCGTCGGCCCAGGAGGCGTGCCCAGACCCTTTGGGGTAGCCCGTGTCCTGGCTGCGATGCGTCCGACGATTCGCTGCTGAGGCCCTATGCGCCGCGCCCCGTGAGCTGGCCTCGGCTAGGGAGCGGGCCTGAATGCTTTGCTGACCAGCTTGGGCCTAGTGATCGATGCTCGCTCCTGGACCTCGACCGCGCTCTGTTGTTGCCGTCGCCCGACATCGGGCGGTGGTGGGGGGCGGGGGGGGCCTGCGCGATTTGCCCCTAGCCTTTCTGTGTATATCGATTTCGTCGTGGCTGGCATCTCGCGGGGCGCTCTCGCGCTGGGCGAGACGAAGCTCGAGGGCGTCTCCGCGGTCTTCGCGGCCGAGAAGGACGAGCGGATTAGGGTTGTGCTGGGCTGCCGGCAGAGGCGTCGGCAATCTCAGCCCCCCCGGTCGGCCTGTTCTCCGCGGCTCCTCGGACCTCGAGGCGCCGAAAGATGCGCCCCTCTTCTTCGCGTGGGTTGGCGTCCAGAATGCTTCCTGCCAGCGCGAGCTGCGCGCCTGCCCGCGGCCGTGCCTCTGCCTTCCCGCCGTCGCTATTGGGGGGCTGGGGCCCGCGGGCCGGGCGGGCGCCGCGCGCCCCCTGGGCGCGCCCCTGCCCGCGACTCGCCGTGGCGCCCATGGCTGGAGCTGGGCGCTGCGCTTCGTCCAGAAGGCCCGCGGGCAGGTGCCGGGCCAGCGTGGCGCCCCGAGGCCCGAGCGGCGGGCCGTGGACTTCGCGCTGGCGCCGGAGCTGGGCAGGGGCCGTCCGCTCGCTCTGCGTGGGCAGCGCGCTGGAGGTGGGTGCCGACTGCGACGCTGCGGCCCGCGTCAGGCGCCTGGCGTCCCAGGCTCTGGGGGCGGCAGGGCTTGCCGACCGCGACGAGGCCGGCGCGTGCGAGTGCGTGGTCATGCTTGGGGGTCAGCAGGAGGCCTGGCCTCGGCCTGGCCTGCGCGCGCTTCCCTGGCGCCGCGCCGTTTCTGGAAGCTCTTCCTGGGGCCTGGATGCGCGGGCCAGCGGGGCATTTCGGCAGGGCTGCCAACGTGCGAGGCGGCTCTGGGGTTCGGCGCGGCGGGAGCTCAAGATCTTCCGCGGCCCCCTCGTCGCCCTCTCCAGTGACCTCGACGCCGAGTGGGCCCGCCGGGTCTACGTGGCAGGCGCCCGCGAGGCGGGCCGCGCCTCGGTCGCGGCCGACTGGGGGGCGGACGACGTGGCGGCTGTCGGCCACTGGGCGCGAGCGGTGGGGCTTCCGCTGCACTCGCGAGGGCGGCGGGCACTCTCGGGCGCGAATGGCAGTGGCTGCTCTCCTGGGCGGAGGCCCGTCTGATTCTCCTTCGAAAGAGCAGTCTCAAGATATTCCTTGATGTGCGCGCCCGCGCCCTTCGCCGCTCGAAGTGGGGCGCAATGCGCCGCGTGCCATTGTTCAGAGAAAAACCCATGCACCGAGAAGAAGCCAGCGGACCCCCGGGGGAAACGTCGCGTCGTCACGGAGGGCAATCTTGCGCTCGCGCTCGCGCTTTCAAGAGGTCGTTGCCGTGATGTCTACCTGCTCACTATCCTTCGCCGAGGGGCGGCCCTCGCGCTCGCCTCGGGCCCCCGGATCCACCGCCGATGGGCGCCGAGCGAGCTGGGCGCTGCGGGCCGCGACAGCCGCGCTCGCGAGGGCGCTCGGTGTCGCGAGGTCCGTAGAGCCGCCTGGCGTTGGATTGCCGCGCGTGGCCGCTCCGCCGCCGTCGGAGGAAGCTCGGCGCCGCTGCGGGCAGCGCTGGCGCCCGCGGGGTTAGGGCCGAGGCTTGGGCGCGCCCTCTGGGCCTGCGCGCAGCCCCAGTCGCGGCGGCCTCTGCGGCCCGCTGCCGCGCCCGCGCCGAGCAGCCGGCGATTGCGGCGGGCTCGGCGCGGGGGGCCGTTGGCAGGGCCGGCGGCTCTGGAGCAGGCTCAGGGCGCGGCGGCTCCTCGACGCCGCGTCGCGACGCGGTGCGTGCCGAGCCTGGTGCTGCCGAGTCATGGCGTGGTGTCGCCCCGCGAGCTCCCGCGGTCCGCGCGCCGCCGCCCGGGCGGCGGGGGGCGCGCGCGGGGCGCCGCGCGCCGGGTCTCCGTTGCGGAGTCGGCCGCGGTGGGCGAGCAGGGCCGTCAGCGGTGCATCGGCCTGATGGAGCAGCTCCTGGCCCCCCGTCGCCTGGGCTCTCTGGCCGCGCCGACCCGCGCCCTTGATGCGGCCCGGGTGCTGTTCTGCGACGAGCCCTACTTGGCGGGCAAGGTGGCGTCCTCGGGCGAGAAGTTTCGGGCCGCCATCGCGATGCGCGTGCCCGACTGCCAGGAGAGGGGGGGCTGGCCCTTCCGCGCGCCCATCGCGCGTTGCGGGGCTGGCGCCTCCCGCGGCCCTCGCGGGCACGGCTCCCCTTGCCCAGGGCCGCCTGCGTGGGCGTGGTTATCTGGCTCTGGCGCGTCAGCGGCCGCCTCGACTTCGTGTTGTTCTGGCTTCTGGTGGTCGACGCGCGCCTGCGACCTGGTGGGGACTTCCGCATGGCAAAGGAACGGGTCTCCCCGCCTCAGGCCCGCATGCCGAAGGTGGCGATGTAGTTACATCGATCCCATGTACATGAAGCGCCCCAGCAAGACGGGCGAGATGGGCGAGACCGTGGACGTCGCGCGGCCGTGGCCGGCAGCGCGCGTGGTGCAGCTTGCCGAGAGGCCGCCAGCCGGCCCGCCGTGGGGCTTCGCGATGACGGAGGCGAAACAGGCCTTCGACGAGGCGGTCCAGTCCCCGGGCCTGGGGAAGCTGCAGACCGTGCTCGACGCAGCCCGGCGCGGCGGCGCCTTCATCGTCTGGTCCGCGGGGAAATCTCGTTGCAGGAGGTCCAGCGGCGCGGCCGCTGCCGCCGGCCCCAGTCCGTGAGGCGCTGCGAGAAGCGCGGCTGATGCAGACAGTCTGGGGCCCAGCGGCCGAGCGGGCGCGGGAGTATTGCCTCAAGGCCGAGGCCGAGCTGCCCGCGCTGTTTGCCGCGGTTCGCGCAGGTGCAACGGCTGAGTTCGCCCCGTATGCGAGCTTACGAGTTTTTTTTTACATTGGGGCCTTCTCAGGATCGGAAAATTTTCCGTGTGCCCAGCGGCGTCGTGGTTACAGATTTGTCGCGTTCGATAACCTGCAGGGCGCCAAAGGGGGCCTTCTGAAGCCTGCCGTCCTAGTCCGTGTGATCAGAATGTTGAAGAGTGATCGCTGTCTCGGGCTGCTCGCTGGTGTGCCGTGCAAGTCGTTGTCCATTGCGCGCGGAGGCCACGGCGCAGTCATGATGTTTGAATACCCTGCTGGTCTCCCCTCGCCCCCTCCCCATCTTCGAGCTCTCGGCGACGAGGGCACCGAGTTGTTTCAGTTGCCCATTCAGATTTTTAAAGTCTGTAGGCATGCGGGTTCTTTATATTGAGGGGAAATCCCAGTCATCCCACAGGAGGAAAAGGCCTGCCGCTGTCCTGGCTTCGCGCTGGCCCGAGGTCCTAAATGTTATAAGAAAATGATTGCGGGTGGGGAACTCTCTGGTGTGAGGCAACGAGGTTCCGTTGTTTTCTTCTGCCTAGGAGTGATCATCTCAGCAAGCGCTGAACAACTATGCGTGGTATTCGCTCGTTCTGTGGAGTTAAACAGATCCTCCAAGGCCGAGGCGGCCTCGGCGTACATTGGACCACTGCAGCTGCTGCCTGCCCCAAAGTTCTGTGCAGTAGAATGGCCAATGCATTCCAGGACACTGCTTTCGATCGCATGCTTAGGCAGACCGCCCACTCGTTCCCCTTCTGCCACTCTGACCTCGAGTCCGGCTAACGGCAGAGAGCCGTTCACCACATTTGGTGCAATGAAGTTAACGTGTGTAGACCAGCCTCAGCATATCTCGCACGTTGGGCAGTTGCAGTCTTGTTCAACATTTTGGGCCGCTCCACATGCGGATGACAAGCGTGGTAGTAAACAGGACGGGTGGGGAACCTCTTCCTCCTCCTCCTCCTCCTCTTCCCTCCTCTTCCTCCTCCTCCTCTTTTTCTTCTTCCTCCTCCTCTACCTCCTCCCTCCTCCCTCCTCCCTCCTCCTCCTCCTCCTTCTCCTCCTCCTTATCCTCCTCGTCTTGGGCTGGAATAGTATGTGCTTCGCCCACCCAGTCGTCTTCTCACCGAGAAACTTTCGAGGACAGCCTGACCTGACCTGACCTGGCCTCTCTTCCTCCTCCTCCTCCTCCTCCTCGTTCTCGTCCTCTTTCTCGTCCTCCTCACCTCCTGTCTCCCTGGACCAATCGTGGCGTTTCTCATTCAACTCCGGCCTCCGATCGTCCTTCGCGGGTCCCAGGTGGAATCGGGCCACGATCAGGAACGGGACTCTGGTGGTCTGGGGCAAGGGGTCGAGAGGACTGCCTCGCGGACTGACAGAATCTTGACGCCGAAGGTCTGGGTCTAAAAGCTCTGGGCGTGCGCGTGTGCGACTGAGCGACGACGAGCAACGGGGCCGACTATGCGGACATTGGCGCGTAAATTGCCGCGCGCTACGGTCGCGCGTGATCGCCTTCGTTTCCACGTGGAGTGCCGCGCCGGTGGTTCGCGTCCGCGTGAAGTCGCCGTGCCTTCTCGTGCCAGGTCATGGGCTGTCAAGTAAACCCATACGTATGCGACCCCCAAATTTCTCGGGGTGGAGTTCCCTGGGGGTTATGGGAGTGTTGTCATGTGGGGGCCCTCGCCCGAACGTGACCCCCCCTCGGGTTCTGACAGCCTGCGCCCGTACCTACAGCGCCTTCATCTCCTTGCCCTTCCCCACTCTTCCCTACAGGGTTGACTGTGTGCTGTTCTTTCACAACAAGGGCCCTTTTGCCTTCGTCGCTCGGGCGGGTGCGGTCACGCCGGGGCCGGGTTCCTGTAACTCGCGCCCATACTTGGAGCGCCTTCCTCTCTTCGCTCTTCCCCATTCCTCCCTGAAGGTCTGAGTGTGTGTGTGTGCTGTTCTTTTGTCGTAAAGACCCTTCTGCCTTCGTCGCTCGAGCGGGTGTGGCCACGCCTGGGCGGGGTTCCTGTAACCCGTGCGCGGCGTTCTTCTCCTGGCCCTTCCCCGCTCCTCCCGGTATGTCTGAACGACTGTTGTTATTTCGTCACGAGGGCCCTTGTGCCTTCATCGCTCGAGCGAGTGCGGGCACTCCTGGGCCGTGTTCCTGTAACCCGCGCCCATACCTGGAGCGCCTTCCTCTCTTCGCCCTTCCCCTCTCCTCCCTGGAGTTCTGAGTGTGTGCTGTTCTTTCACCACGGAGGCCCTGGCGCCTCCGTTCCTCGGGCGGGTGCGGCCACCCCTGCTTCGGGCACGGACCGCCTCCGCCTAGGCCCGGGGCGGGCGGCACAGGCGGTGCCGAGACTGCCCGCCGCGGCCCCGCCCGAGCGCAGGGGCTGCCGGTCCTGGGGCTGCGCTCGAAGACGCACGTCGTGCTGTGCTCCTTCAAGCGCTCGCAGTCCGCAGGGGTATCGGAGTTCGGACATTGGGACATATACATGACTAGTGACAGGCTGTTTTCAATCCCAGGACTTTTTGAGGGTCGGGGGCGACGTCGGGGTGGTGTGGTGTATACTTTCTGCTTCCACTTCTTGGGAAAACAACGAAACATGAAAACACCAGGATCCCGTATACATCAGGATCCACTTTCCTGTGCAAACTTCAGTGCAGGGCTGGAAAATGCATCGGTGTATAGAGTTCGGTTTCCTAGGCATGGCTCGACGCAGACACCACGCGATTTGGTCTGCCACGGAGCCAAGGACTTCGGCGAAGGAGTTCGGTGTACAGGCTCCCCAGCGTCTCGCAGGTTGGGCAGCAGGGGCGTCCATGCACCGAGTTCTCCGGTCGACCAAGTGACGTGTCGTGTACGTCGAGCCCCTCCCAGGGCAGGGCGGCAGGGGGGAGCGTCAGAGAGAGTGGCCTTGCTACACATCAGGGCGCTTCCGAGAGGGCCCCGCCTTCGATGCACCACTAGGCTGACGTCTCCACCTCGGCAGAGGCCCGCGGAAGGCCGACGGAGGCCAAAACGAGGGTGGCTCCGCTGGCGGAAGCTCGGCGGCCGTCGGCGGAAGCTGGCCCCAGAGGCATTCAGGATCGGATGCGGTCGCCAGCGGCCCGTGGGCCTGCGTGCCCCGCGGCCGCTCGTGGCCCCCTCGTGGGGGCGCGCGCGCGATCAGATTCGATGGCCTTCGCCCGTGGCCCACAGGTGCGTGTGCGCGGTCAGTCTTGGCTTGCTCAAGTGGGCCTTCCCGTCTCGCCGTCGCCCTGTGGTGGCGCCCCCGGGGGGGGTGGGGCCGGGGGGGGCATGGCAGGATCGAGCTGTTCTGGAGGCCTGGGTGCTGGCATGTCTCTTCGGGAGTGTCTGGCCGCTGCCGTGGGGTCATGGCCGCGGCTTCCTTGGCCGCCGGCTCTGGGTCTACGCGCCAGCCCCGCGGAGAGAAGGCCAAGGCCAGCGGCCAGTAGTTTCAGTGCCCAGCGTATCCCTCCTGCGAATCGGCGGCAGCAGCCTCGTGCTCCTGACCACAGGGCTTCTGAGCCTGGGCCTCAGAATACCAGAGGCTTTGCTCCGAGCCACTCGCGCCTTCACGGTAATACTCGCTCGAGGCAGGTATTCCTCTTCGAGAGGGCAGACGGTTGATTTCGCCTCCTCGGCGGGAGCCAGCGGAAGAGGGTGCAAGGGAGAGCAGACCTCCAGAGGTAGGGACGGTCTGGTGTCCCCACGGTTTCTGGAAGTCTGGGCGCACCATCAACATATCCAGTCAAGCAGGCACACGATAATAATGTGCTTAGCTATTGATGCATCAGGCCCCCTCGCGCGGAGGCGATAGAATCACCGCGGCGGAGTCGTTGTGTTTCTGCCACGCGTTCGTAATGGACGTAGCAGTTGGCAGGTCATTCGAGTGAACCTGTTGACTGAAAAATGTTTGCACCATTTCGGGTTGAGCTGCGAATCGGATGGCACTGCTGCTCCCCCGCGCCCCCGACTTTAACATTGATAGTTGTGACATCTCCCCGGGCCCTTCGATCAAATAAAGATGCATCCCATTTCAGCGTGCGCGTCCGCTCTCAATGTTAAGGTCGGGGACGGGGGGGTCGTATCATCAGTTGTCGTGCCGCCCAGGTGGTGCAAACTTGTTTCTTTCAACCGACGCACGAGGCAACACCTTGCGGGTCAGGTCTATGCCACTGTCGAGCAAGAGTCCGTGAGGTCTCGCGACGCTTCAGAGGGCACGAGGAAGGGCTCAAGATCCGCTAAGGCGCTAAGGCACAGCGCCAGGAATGGGGAACCAGAGTGGGCGAGCGTATGAAGCCCGCGTGCCCCCTGGTACAGGCAACCTTTGAGCAAGTATGCGTCGTGTGAGGTTACCAGGGATGCTGTTTTCGCTGTAGAAAGGAGAAGGGAAGCTGCGGCACGGCACCTGATTAGGAAGGTAGGGTGCCAGTCGGCCATTTGGGAAGATGCTGCGCCTCAGGTCTGAGTTGGCAGAGCCGCAGCAGAAGATCTTCAAGATGGAGACCCTCCCTGATCCCTCACTGCTCGTCCCTCCTCCCTCCCTCCCTGCCTCCCTCCCTCCCTCCTTTCTCCTCCCTCCTCCCTCCTTTGTCCTCCTCCCTCCCTGCACGCTGGGCGGCTCCCAGCGTCTCAGGCACTTCCCCTCCTTGTGAACAGCCAGGAAGCCGGATACTCACCCGCCGTGCACACCAGGCCGCTCCCAGCGTCCCGGGTGCTTCCTCTCCTCTTGACAACGAGGAAGCTGCATACACATGACGTGGCCGGCCTGGGCGAGAGCTGGATGCACGCGTGGCCTGATGTCTTTTCCAGCGTTTGGCCCACGTGGGGCGCTCCAGAAAGGGCCTCGCCTTCGAGGGACGAAGGAATTGCCATCTCTTCCTCGGCGGACGTCGGCGGAAGGCCGGCGGGAGGCGGCGGAGGTGAAACGCGGCTGACTCCGCCAGCGGAAGCCGGCGGAAGTGAACCATGCGCCCCCAAGAGATGGCCTACTCTTCGGGTTAAGGGTTTCGGGAACGGGCCATGCATGTCCGTGTGCGCCAGTTTCCGCACGCTTATCCAGCGCGTGGCCTCGGGACGCCCCGCCTTATCAGCCCCCAGCAGCAGTCTGTGCTTCCCGCTTCCTGGTGCAGGCGGCGCTCGTGTGGCGGCACCCTCGGGTCGTCCGGCACTCACGGGGAGGAGGCCGCCAACGTAGCAGACAGGATGGCCCAGCGACGCTCCGTGTCCGTTCGTCAGGAAAAACCGCGGGCCTGCAGCGGCTGCAGCAGATGCGCTTGCAGCAGCAGCAGCAGCAGCAGCCAGCGGCGACGATGGCCGACAATTTTCCAAGCTCGGGCTCAGGCCCAGGGATCTCTTTTAGTGTGCGGGCCTTTGACCCTGTACTAGAAAGTCAGAAAGACATTTATCGGATTGGGAGGATGGCTATGGGCATGTGCAGGGGCATTGGCCGTCGGATCCTTCAACCCCCTTCCAGCTTGAATTGTCTGCCGACTGCGCTCGTAATTCTGCTTGAACTTGGGTTCTTCGCTTTCATATCGGTGGAAACGACGTTCCCGCTCATCGCATTCACGCGTCTCTCCTGCATCGTCAGCTGTTCCTGCTGAAGAACCCTGCTCTGCGCGTCACTGGCTGGGCCTCGTTAGTTTGGAATTACCTCTGTGTTTGATCGGCAGCGATGCTGCAACGCCGGTGCCAACGACTCATGCAGAAGTGCGCTACCCATGCAGAACGGAAGCGGACCAACGCAGTAGTGAGTCCGTATCCCGAACGGGTCGCAATACGGAATTCATTGCTATTCCGTATCAGGAACGGAAGGCAATACGGAACTTGCTGCGGTCCCGTGACCTCTCAAAATTTGTATGAGCACGAGGAACAGTTCATTTGTGAGTTCCACATCAGCAACGGATCGCAACGCGGAACCCGATGCGGAAGTCACTATTCACTGGGCAATTGTCAGATACCCCCGGCATTGCTCATGCCCTTGGTTTTTTTTTAGTGTTCGCCGCGTCGCTTCAATAACTGAGATGGTCCAAGATGGCTCTGAGAGGGCCCAGAACACACATAAAGGGGGCTCTTGGACGCCCCACCGAAGGCGTCGGAGGGCTCCAAGAGGGCCCCGAGAGGGCCACGAAGTAGGCTGCAGGGTGCAACCCGCGTCTTGGGAAGTTCCCAGGGGTCCAAGATAGCCCCGAGAGGAGCATGAAATAGGCTGCAGTTTGCAACCTGCTTCTGAGGAAGCTTGCGCGGTGCTGGATTGGCGGCTCATGCGCTGCGGTGACAACACGCTACCCCCTCGCTAGACGCAGGCGGCCAAAGGTGTCGTCCATTGCATCTGGATGCTTTTGCTCATACCTTGCATTATCCCAACCCCTTCCTCCCAACACGATGATTGTCTTTCTCAGACAGGTGTCGAGTAGGTGGCGTCGGAACTGGGCACGTGACATTACGTGCGCGGAAGGGTGCGGGTATTCAACATGCGTCTCGTCGCGCATGCGTTTGGCGCGTGTTTCCACGTAGTCCTGGCGACAACGTGGTCCCCAGAAGGGGGTATCGAATTAGCTGGCGTCGGACTCTTTACGTGTAGAAGTATGTGTGCGGAGGGGGGCGTGCGCGCGGGGTACGCGTTTTCACGTGTCCACGGGGGCGTCAGATGTCTGTCATGTTCGCGTCGGATTCTTTTACGTTGCGTGCGCGCGGTGCATGTGCTTTTTCGCGTCCACGGCGGCGTCGGATGTCCAACATGGTGTGTGTGTGTGTGTGTGTGTGTGTGCGTGTGTGTGTGTGTGTGTGTGTGTGTGGGTGTGCGTGTGCGTGTGCGTGTGCGTGTGCGTGTGCGTGTGCGTGTGCGCGCGCGTGCGCGTGCGTGCGTGCGTGTGTGTGTGTGTGTGTGTGTGTGTGTGTGTGTGTGTGTGTGTGTGTGTGTGCGTGCGTGCGTGCGTGTGTGTGTGTGTGTGTGTGTGTGTGTGTGTGTGTGTGCGTGCGTGCGTGCGTGCGTGCGTGCGTGCGTGCGCGTGTGTGTGTGTGTGGTGTGTGTGTGTGCGTGTGTGTGTGTGTGTGTGTGTGTGTGTGTGTGAATGCGTATGCGTGTGTGTTTGTTTGTGTGTGGGCGTTTTGCGTGAAACACCTGCGTGAGACATCCTCCTCGCAACATGGGGATGTAGGAGGAGGTGTTTTACTACGCGGGTGTTCGAAAATGAAGTTTTCGCCTGAGACATCCTCAGAACATGAGATGTTGGAGATCAGACGTCGGATATCCAACTATGTGTGTGTGGGCGTTTCGCCTAAGACATTCTCACAACATGGGGATGTTAGAGGAGTTGTTTTCGGTGTTGTTGATTAAAGCATAAAGCCTGTGCCTGGCACGTCTCCAGAACATTGAGATGTTGGAGATCGGGCGTCGGATGTCCAACATGGTGTAGTGGGAACGTATCGGTGAAGACATTCTGACGATGTGGGAATGTTGGAGGAGCTATTTCTCGACACCGGTTTTCAACAATGAAGCTCTCGCCAGTGACGTCCACAGAACATGCGATGGTGGATAGCAGGCGTCGGATATCAAACGTTGTGTGTGTCGGTGTGGGTAGGGGGGGTGGGGTGCGTTTCGTTTGGCACATCTTTACAGCATGGGGGTGTCGGAGGCGTTTTTTTTCGACAGTGATCTTCAAGAAATGATGCTTCCACCTGACACATCTTCAGGAAACGAGATATCGGATATCAGACGTCGGACATTCAACGTGGCGTGGGGGTGGCGCTACGCTTGATATATCCTCTCAGGATTGGGATGTTGGAGGAGTTGTTTTTTTCGGCGTTGGCTTGCAATACTGAAGTGCTCGCTTGGAGCATCTTCAGACACTTGGAAAGCTGGAGATCGGGCGCCGGATATCCAAAATGGCTTGGGGGAGCGTCCCGCCTGAGACATCCTCACAACATGGGAATGTTGGAGGAGTTGCTTTCCGACCTGAAACGTCTTCAGGAGAACAGACGCTGGAGATCAGACCTCAGAGGTCCAACACAGTGGGTGGGGTTGGCGTTCCGTCTAAGACATCCTCACAACGTTGGGATGCTGGAGGTGTTTCCTTTCGACGTCGGTTCTGAAAAGCACGAAGCTTTCGCTTGGCACATGTTTAAAACATTGGGATGTTGGTGATCGGGCATCGGATATCTAATATGGTATGGGGGGAGCGTTCCGCTTGAGACATCCTCACACTATGGGATGGGTGAGGCGTTGTTTTTCGACGTTGACTCTCAAAAATAAGGCTTCCGCCTCACACGTCTTCAGGAAGTGTGATATTGGATATCAGACGTCGGACATCCAGCATGGTGCGGGGGTGGCGTTACGCATGATGCTTCCCTTCAAAGCGAAGATGCTGGAGTATTTCTTTTTTCTTCGACGTTGTTTGTTAGAGCATCTTCAGAAGTTTGGATGGTTGAATATCGGGCGTCGCGTCGGATCTCCATGGTGTGGGGGAGCGTTTCGCCCGATTTACCGATACAGCGTGGGGATATTGTTGAAACTATTTTCTGCCGTTGGTGTTCAAACATGAAGTCTCAACCTCATACATGTTCAGGACATCGGATACAGGATATCAGGCATCTGAGGTCCAACATGGTTGGGTCGGGCGTTTCGCCTGAGACATCTTCACAATTTGGGGACGTTGGAGGCGTTGTTTTTCCACGCTGGTTCTGAAAAGCATGATTCTTTCGCTTGGCATGCGTTCAAAATATTGAGCTGTTGGAGAACGGGTGTCGGATGTCCAAGATGGTACGGAGAGGAGCGTTCCGCTTGAGACATCATCACAGCATGGGGGATGTGTGAAGACTTGCTTTGTTCGAAGCTGGCTCTCAAAAGTGATGCTTCCGCCTGGCACATCAGGAGACAATGGGATGTTGGACATCAGACGTCGGACATCCAACCTGGTGTGGGGAAAGCTTCGCCTGGGACGTCCTCGCAACACGGGGATGTAGCAGGAGTTTTTGGTGTTCCCACTTTGAGGGCGCCACGGACCGGTAAAGCAATTATAAACCAGATAGTCAGCTGTCATCCTGATCTTGTGACGCCTCCATTTTCGAGAATGCCCCCCGTCGAATGCCGATCTCGTGAGGGTGCGCCGACTTTGGGATTGGCGGTCACACCGCGTACCCAAACGCAGTGTGACCCACGTCGCTGCGACTGAGACAAAACATGTGTGTTCCAGCCTCTGGGCATCCTCGCCGCTGCTTGCCGTGCCGCGCCCCCCCCCCTCCCGCGCCCTGCATGGCAGAACCCTCCTCGCTGGAGTTCGGCCCTCTCACTGGTCCTAAACACACTCTTGCCCGGGGTCAGCCAGGGTGAAAAGGACATCCCGCGGGATTGGGCTCTTGCCGCTGTTCCCGATCAGCTTGCCGCGCTGGTTCAGCATCCGTGCGTCAAGGTGCATCGACGCGTTACATGGCTGGTTGTTTGGCTGCGCAACACGCGCTGATTTTTGTTTGAGGCGCCTCGGGGCGCGGAGGTGTGAGCGCGCTGGAAGGCCGCATAGGAGTGGCGGTGCTTGCCCCGCTCGAACAGAAAGAGGAAGATCCCATCCCTATCCTGGCTGGCGACCACTGCGTCTGAGCTTGCCCACAGGAGCGACGTTGCAATCTCGCGCTCCAGGGGGGGAGGGGGGCCGCAGCTGTCGCACCAATGGGTGCCTGGAGAAGGCAGCGTCATGTAACGTTCAATCGGCCGTGGCTTCTACACTAGTGCAGCCGCTTTCGGCTGCGACGCGTCGCCCCCCCCGCCCCTTGCCACCCTGCCTAGGTAAGGGTAGGGGTGTCTTTCGCGAACGAGACCCTCAGCTTTCGGCGCTGCGGCGCGCGCGCGCGTGCACTCGGGGCTGCGCCTGATGCGCGGTCCAGGTCACTCTGCAGCGCCGAGCCGTCCCTCGTCCCTTCTCTCCTTCTCTTCCGCCTGCTTCGTCCTCCTCGTCCTCGTCCTTCTCCTCCTCCTCATCCTCCGCCTTTTCCTCGCCCCTCGTCCCTCGCACATCGTCCCTCGTCTCTCGTCCCTCGTTCTTCCTCCCCCGTCCTCCCTCCGCGCTCCTCGCTCCTCGCTCTTGCTCTCCTTTCCCTCCTTCCTCCTCCCACCTCCCTCCCTCGTCCCTCCTCCCTCGTCCCACTCCCCCTCGTTCTCCTCCCCGTGCTCGTTATAATCGTTCTCCCCCTCCTCCTCTCCCTCCTCTTCCTCTTCCTCTTCCTCTTCTTTCTCTTCCTCCTCTTCCTCTTCCTCATCCCGCTTTCTTCTCACATAAATTTGACTTGACTGAGGGCTTCCCGCATGCGCAACGCTGTGTGCAGGATGACAATCTGGCAATCGGCATCTCGGGCCTGACTGCAGACGCACGCATGTTGGCGGGGTCCGGGTGGGGCAACAAGAGGAACGATAATCACACACGCGGCGGGAGAGGCATTGCATGGGTAGAAGGAGGAGGATGCGGAGGATGAGGAGGAGGATGAGGAGGAGGAGGAGGAGGACGAGGAGGAGGAGGAGGAGGACGAGACGAAGGAGGAGGAGAGGGAGGAGGAGGAGGAGGAGGACGAGATCGACGAGGAGGAGGCAGAGGAGGATGAGGAGGAAGAGGAGGATAACGAGGAGGAGGAGGAGGAGGAGGAGGAGGAGGAGGAGGAGGAGGAGGAGGAGGAGGAGGAGGAGGAGGAGGAAGGGGAGGATGAGGATGCTGATGCTGATGCTGCTGATGCTGCTGCTGCTACTGATGATGATGATGCTGATGATGATGATGATGCTGATGATGATGATGATGATGATGATGATGATGATGATGCTGATAATGATGATGATGATGATGATGATGATGATGATGATGATGATGATGATGATGCTGATGCTGATGCGGATACTGATGCTGATGCTGATGCTGCGGATGCTGCTGATGCTGATGCTGCTGCTGCTGCTATTGTCGTTGATGATGATGAGGGTGACGATGATGGTGATGATGATGATGGTTGTGGTGGTGGTGATGATGATGCTGCTGCTGCTGATAACGATGCTGCTCATGCTGGTGATGATACTGATGATGCTGATCATGATGCTGCTGATGATGATGCTCATTATGCTGATGCTGATGCTGATGCTGATGCTGATTCTGATGCTGACGCTGCTGACGCCGCTGATGCTGATGATGCTAATGCTGATGTGGATGCTGATGATCATCATGATGCTGCTGCTGACGCTGATGATGCTGCTGATGATTATGATGATGGTGATGCTGATGCTGATGATGATGCTCATGATGATGATGCTGCTGCTGATGATGCTGCTGCTGATCATGATGATGCTGCTGCTGCTACAGATGATGATGAGGATGATGATGATGATGCTGATGATGATGATGATGATGCTGACGATACTGATGCTGATGATGATGCTGATGATGATGATGATGATGATGGAGATTATGCTGATAATGATAATGATGTTGATGATGATGATGCTGATGCTGCTGCTGCTGCTGATGATGTTGCTGATGCTAATTATGCTGATTGTGCTGCTGACGATGCTGACGATGATGATGATGGTGACGCGGTCGATGAGGCTGATGCTGATGACGATGATGATGATGCTTATTACGCTGATGATGATGCTGCTTATGCTGATGATGATGTTGACGATGCTGATGAGGATGTTGATGCTGCTGGTGACGATGATGATGATGGTGATGATGCGGCGGATGCTGATGATGCTGACGATGATGATGATGATGCTGCTGATGATGATGATGATGATGATGATGCCGATGATGACGTTGACGATGACGATGATGATGCTGCTGATGATGATGCTGATGATGATCCTGATGATGACGATGCTGATGATGACGATGCTGATGATGACGATGATGCTGATGATGATGCTGATGCTGATGATGCTGATGCTGATGCTGATGATGCCAATGATGCTGATAATGATGCTGCTGCTGCTGATGATGGTAATGATGATGACGACGATGATGATGAGGATGATGCTGGTGCTGATGATGATGATGGTGACGATGATTATGATGATGATGATGATGATGAGGATGATGAGGATGATGATGAGGATGATTGTGATGATGGTGATGCTGCTGATGACCATGCTGGTGATGACACTGATGCTGATGCTTATGCTGATGATGATGATGACGATGATGATAATGATGATGATGATGATGATGATGATGATGATGATGATAGAGATGATGATGCTGATGCTGATGATGATGATGCTGGAGATGATGCTGCTGCTGTTGTCGTTGATGATGATGATGGTTGTGGTGGTGGGGGTGATGCTGATGCTGCTGATGACGATGATGCTCATGCTGGTGATGCTGCTGATGATGCTGATACTGATCATGCTGATGATGCTGATGCTGCTGATTGTGCTGATGCTGATGCTGATGCTGACGCGGCTGACGCCGCGCATGCTGATGACGCTACTGCTGATGATGATGCTGATGATCATCATGATTCTGCTGCTGCTGACGCGGATGATGCTGCTGCTGATGATGATGCTGTTGTTGACGATGACGATGATGATGATGATGATGATGACGATGATGATGATGATGATGATGATGATGATGATGATGATGATGATGCTGATGCTGATGCTGATGCTGATGCTGATGCTGATGATGATGCTCATGCGGTTGATGCTGCTGATGATGATGCTGCTGCTGATCATGATGGCTCTGCTGCTGCGGATGATCATGCTGCTGACGATGATGATGTTGATGGTGCTGAGGCTGATGATGATGATGCTGCTGGAGATGATGCTGATGATGCTAATGCTGATGATGGTGATGATGATGATGATGATGATGATGATTATGCTGATGATGCTGCTTATGATGCTGATGATGATGATGCTGATAGTGCGGCTGACGATGCTGATGATGAGGATGCGGGTGATGAGGTTGATGATGCGGATGACGATGATGATGATGCTTTTTCTGCTGATGCTGCTGCTTATGCTGATGATGATGCTGAACATGATGTTGATGCTGCTGATGATGTCGATGTCGATGTCGATGACGATGCTGCTGATGATGCTGCGTATGTTTATGATGCTGACGATGATGACGATGATGATGCTGATGATGCTGATGATGACGTTGACGATGACGATGATGATGCTGATGCTGACGCTGATGATGCTGATGATGGCGATGCTGATGATGCTGAGGATGCTGAGGATGCTGATGATTATGTTGATGCTGATGGTGCTGTGGCTGATGATGCCGATGATGTTGATCATGATGATGCTGCGGCTGTTGATGATGGTGATGGTGATGACGACGACGATGCTAACGATGAGGATGATGTTGGTGCTGGCGATGATGATGATGCTGATGATGCCGATGCTGATGATGATGATGATGATGATGATGATGATGATGATGCTGATGATGATGATGATGATGCTGATGCTGATGCTGATGCTGATGCTGATGACGATGATAATGATGATGCTGATGATGAAGATGATGGTGCTGCTGCTGATGATCATGCTGATGATGCTGATGGTGATGCTGATGATGCTGACGCTGGTGATGAAGACGAGGATGCAGCTGCTGATGATGATGCTGATTATGATGATCAGGATGAGTATGTGAGGAAGATGGGGAAGAGGCTGCGGTGGAGAAGGAGGAGGAGGAGGCTGAGGAAGGCGGAGGGGGAGGATGCTGAGGGGGAGGAGCACGGGAATATCGAGGACTGGAATGAGAACGAGGAGGGGGAGAGGGACGGAGTAGGCGTAGTTCTCGGAATAGGAGTAGAGTAGTAGTAGTAGTAGTAGTAGTAGTAGTAGTAGTAGTAGTAGTAGTAGTAGTAGTAGTAGTAGTAGTAGTAAGTAGTAGTAGTAGTAGTAGTAGTAGTAGTAGTAGTAGTAGTAGTCGTAGTAGTAGTAGTAGTAGTAGTAGTAGTAGTAGTAGTAGTAGTAGTAGTAGTAGTAGTAGTAGTAGTAGTAGTAGTAGTAGTAGTAGTAGTAGTAGTAGTAGTAGTAGTAGTAGTAGTAGTAGTAGTAGTAGTAGTAGTAGTAGTAGTAGTAGTAGTAGTAGTATAGTAGTAGTAGTAGTAGTAGTAGTAGTAGTAGTAGTAGTAGTAGTAGTAGTAGTAGTAGTAGTAGTAGTAGTAGTAGTAGTAGTAGTAGTAGTAGTAGTAGTCGTATTATGAGCAGGAGTAGGAGTACGAGCAGGATTAGGAGTATGAGTAGGAGCAGCAGTAGGGGTATGAGTAGGAGTAGAAGCAGGCGTGTGGGTAGGAATGTCGTACGAGTAGGGGTAGGAGTAGGAGGAGGAGGAGTACGAATGGGATTAGGAGTTGGATTGTGAGTAGGATTCGGAGTAGGAGTAAGATGATGATGAGGAGGAGGAAGAGGAGGAGGAGGATGAAGACGATGATGAGGAGGATGAGGAGGAGGAGGAGGACGGATGATGATGCTGATGATGACGATGACGATGCTGATGAGGATGATGATGATGATGATGATGCTGATGATGATGGGGCTGCTGATGATGTCGATGCTAATGCGTATGATGAGATGCTGCTGATTATGCTGCTGATGCTGATGATGGTGGTGATGCTGATGATGATGCTGCCGATGGTAATGATGATGCTGATGATGCTGCTGATGATGATGCTGATGATG